TCAACCAGATCATTTTAACCCTTTTCACCTTATAGTTATACAAACTGGTGGTTTTTACAAAGACTTTCAGGCTGCAAATAAAGAATGTTATATCAATGAGTCATTGGTCATTTTGTAGAACATCAGAAAATTGTGAAAAAAGCCCAGTATAACTCCCCTTAGTCTAAGGTGGTATATTAAAATAGTTTGTTTAAAAGAGAGACACAAAACACAAACAAAAGCAGGAAATACTCAAATTTAAGACACAAACTACGGCCGATGCTGAAGGGAATGTCATTAGATTTACAGGTATTTGATCATAAATCAAAGTATAGTAAAAATCTAAATGATTCTATGTCAAAAAGTTTCAGAGACACTGAATATCTGTGGCACATTTCACAGCAATCCATCCGATAGTTGCCAAATATTTCCAACATGAAACCAAAAACCGTTGATAGCATGCCTAAAAACATCAGATACTCTGGCAATGGTGCTCTAATGTAATATACGTTTTTATTTGCCTGGCTACTAACATTAATTAGCAGGCCAAGTACTGTATCCTTCCTCAGATATGGCCATGAGCTCAGAGATCAGAGGTCACAGCCATACAAACTGCTATACATCATCAGCTCAAATGCACCCTGGGAACTCACAGTATCTCTATATGTTTAACTGCTGTCCTGGTCAGCTGCTTGTGACATTATAGGACCTTTTCCCAAGCATGACTATACGGGGAGTTCACTGGGCTTCTTCTCTGCACTGCCTCCTCTGCTGAGAACGAAAACCACTCAACAAGCGAGTGAAGGCCTCTTGAAAGCATATTTGTGGTCCACTCTGGGGTGTGTTTGTGTGTGCGAGAGGGACAGTCAGGTTTTGAAAATGTACTCAACTATGTGTTGGTGTGGGGAACGGATCGATCTGGTGTGTGTGTGTGTGTATGTAAGAAGTCAACTTTATTCTTTCTCAATTTCTTCTTTTACATTCTTATGTTACTTTCATTTTCTTTTTTTAGAGCAATTTCAATTTACTAACAAAATAACAAGTTTTCTAATCTAAAAAACCTACTATTTGTAATCTGTTTTTTATTAAATGATATATACCACACATCCCACACTTCTTCCCCACTACAGGATCTGGCAGAAAGCCTAGAAGTTGGGTGATGCTGTTTCTCTCCACTCTTTATCCAAACTTTATTGTTTAGGTTTTTTTTTTTTCATATATATATTGTTTTATTTGTTATCGACGCAGTGGTTTGTGTGGGGTCGGCATTTTCTGCTACAGTCGGCTGTGTGTTGCCAACATTTTCTACTGCATACTCTGTTGTTTTCCCACCAACATCTACTCCATTTTCTCACTCAAAACACACTGGTCGTAAAGCTACCTTGAACAACTAAAGTGACCCATGAGGTGTCACTATTCATGTGTGAATATTTAACAGTTCAATGGCTAAATATGAATGAAAGTGGGATTCAAAAAGGGTGTATTTTTCAGTCCAACTTTTAACTTATAAAAACATTTTGTACCTGCTAAGTGACTCTCGTGTGCGACGTATTATTGTTCCCACCACTTGCTGCACCCGACTGGCCCCCCGAGCTGGAGACCTGCTCCTACATCGCTCCTTCTCCTCCATTTATCTGAAGAGACAAAGAGAGGGAAGGGTGTGAGTTACAGACATAATCTCAAAACACGGAGCAAAAAAAGGAGACGTGGAAAGAAGATGAAAGGATTTGGAGGGAGAAAATAAGTTAGAAGCTGTTTAGACTTTAGCTGTGTCTCGACGGCTGTGCGCTGAGCGGCAGAATTGTGCTCCAGCTGAAATTAGCATCTGCTCTGTTTTTATATTCAGAGCATGTAGCCTGCCTTGAATACGATGAATAATATGTGAACAGAAAGCAAGAAAGGCCGAGAGAGAGAAAAAGAGAGGGGTGAAGTGTAGCCGGCATGAACAACAACACATGTCACGCACGTTTGCCTGACTGACCTGATTCCCAACAACAACTGAACCATCACACAATAACAGGATTCACAAAGAGCTCGATATAAATATGCTACAATCTGTTTGTTCACTACAGCTCTGCAGCTGTGTGCTTTCTGCTTAGCCTGCCCTTTAAACAGGGGAGTGTTCGGGACATAATGAAGAATGGAGGGCTCAGTCGAACCCCAGGGAGGCAAAGCTGGTCAGCATTGAATCCTGACCAAATCTCAAGACTTATGAGTCCCCTCGACTGTGTTTTGTTCCCGTCAGCCAATCAATATGCTGGCATTGATGCTTGTAGAGCTTCTGAAAACTCTTTGACAGGGTTTATTATATATTGCTGAAAATATACTCTACAAGGGGTGCTCGGTTAAATATGTTCATGTTTCTTTGGTGTCAGATGTAAAGAAAGATCCTGGCAACAAAGATTTTAGAGGGCAGGGGTGTGTTTCAGATCTCAATGTGTTTCTGATTATTTGAAGTATTATTTGTTTGCACCATTACGGTAAAGCAAGTCCCCTTTTTGTTTTTAATTTCAGCAGATATTGTTTTGTTGCTGTCTTGTGATAGTCTTCATCTGCTGCTCAAGGCTGTGTTTGACCCCACGAGGCAAAGAAAAGGGAGGGAAACTTTGGCAGGAACGGGTAGAATAGCGACTTAGATTTGATCAATACAGCTAACGATGATGAATGTTCTCCTGCACCTAATGATCCATACCTTGGCCTCTGCAGCCAGCTGCGGAGAGCTTAGTTTTATCAGCTCTCTGAAATATGGAGGAAACTTCTGCAAGCCAAGACTTTTGTGGAGATCTTAAAAGAAGCACAACAGTTTTCTGGCAATCTGCCACAGATGTATGGGGCATATTAAAACATGCCTTTGTCCAATAAATAAGGGGAGTAAAGTCATTACAGCACAATTAAGTCTTCTGTGTTACTGGGAAACAATACACTCTGCCCTGCAATCAATAGAGGATGTTAAGCAGTGCTGCTGTGAGTAAAGTCGTATTCAAATAGAATACAAAATTATAATTTTTTTTTTTTGGTAGCTAAAACAGCAGGACTTCAGCTCATCTCTGTTAAAGTGATCGCCGGTTGTGGGCCAATAACGACTGGCCTCCCTCAGTAGTAGTAAAGCACGCAGTGTAGGTCTGTCCTTTAAGAGGATTAGAGGCCCTCATTCTGCACGGGCCCTCACTGGTCAGGGTGTCACTTTAGCACCTCCCGCTGATCCAGATTGAGGCAGATTGACGTGGATGAGGAGGGATGAGTGAGGCTCGGTAGCTGACATCTGCATGCGAGGAGCCGTTCGATCATTGAGAGGAACAGATACCAGCGTGTCAATCAGCGTCGTACAGATCATGAACCCTTGCCTCGTGTTGAATGTGCAGCATGCTAGCAGGTGTAGGAATGTATGTGTGCGTGCTGTAGTGCTGCAATCAATGCTGAGTCAGGTGGTGTTTTTGCTGTCATTCTCCTTCTTTCTCTCTTCTGTCTTTTATTTTCTCCTTTCTCTCCTCTCTCTCTCTCTCTCTCTTTCTCTCTAACCCTCACTGCCCTTGCCGAGTCAGGTAGTCGTCTCAGATGACAGTCTCTCTGGGCAGCAGCAGCCAGCCATTTTTTTTATATACATGCACATCCTAAGCACTTGATCAAGGGGTTTACAATAACACCCCCACTTTTAAAACATTTATAAAGCACATAGTTAAGCAAGGGCAAACATGCTGGGTGTATTTTTAGTGTGCATGATTCAACCCTTGAAATGCTTAAGCGTTTAACTATACTCTACATTAATTACATGTAGTAAGCTTCTGGAAAGGCAGAAAAAGATTTGAAATGTATTCTGTCCTCAAGATACCAACACATCCAGGCGCTTCAGTCTTCTCCACATATTTTAAGAAAAGCAACACAATGTCCCACATTTTAACTAAAGACTGTGAGAGCGTGACTCACCGTGATGTGGCTTGTCTCTTCAGGACTCCAGAACACAAATACCCTCTCGCCCTCTGAGACATCAGCTCTGCAGCCCCTCCAGGATTGGCTGAAAAGAGGTGGAGGGGGGTCCTTGTGATCATCAGGGCCAATCCCAATCTGGTGCGGCCACCTGTGCAGAGCAGAGCAATGCTATCAGGGAGACCTGTCAAATCCTATAAACAAGATGCATAACCCCATGACGAGTTTATAATTAGAACGGAGCGTGAAACGGCCACTTATCAAGTCTGTTAAGTTGGATCAGCTGCATCTGCATTGGGTTTAACCTGTTTCTAAGTAACAGAGCTGCATTCCAGTTGTTGATATTTTCCGAGTGAACACGCAAGTGTGTCAAGCAAAGCAGATGTGAGTCCAAAGCAGCTATGTGGTTGTGGTTTTCCAAGAGGCCCCTCCTCTGGTCCCCAAGGCTCTGTCTTTCTTTCTCTCTCTCACTCTCTCTCTCGCTTTCTCTTGCAGCCTCAAAAGCACATGGTGAAGTGGAGTCGAGGCACTCCATCTCCGTCTGGTTGTCTAAATTAAAATTTCATACCGCCCAGTTCAGTTAACAGTTCTTACTGGGGTGGGCTCTAAAAGCAAAGAGGACAGCCTGTGAATCCTGATGTGGTGAAGAGAGAAATGCTGCCAGGCAGTCAGAGATCTTGGCCAATAATAAAAGAGGACAAGTCTTTCATATGAACATCAGGGCAGATATTACTGAAACCTTAGCCGGCCTCTGGTTTGGGGAGAAAAACACACTAGGGGAACACTTTGTTGTGAAAACCCTGGCTGTTGAATTAGGAGAGACACTGAATAAACATTCTTGATCTCGTCTAAGGAAACCGCCTCACTTTGCACTTGAATGTTGATCTGTGAAGTAAACTCTCGGGGCTTTCATCTACAAGAGGGAGCAGAAATCGAGGAATTTAGTCCCATCTGTGCAGCTCGTCCATCAGGCCCTCTGTCCCGCACACAGAGCTCTTTCACAAGGCCCATGTGTCCCAGTGAAAAGCCAGCAGAAGACCTAGACCCACACAGACTGCAGGGCACATGAATAATGCATGGTGCTAATGCAGCTAGCTAGGCCTCCGACCGCCTCCTTCTGCCACTTTGCCAACACAGGCAACAAGAAGAGCGGAGCACAGAAGAAGAGAGAGAGAGACACACGGGAAAGACGTATGGGGGGGAGTTGCAGGGGTGAGCAGGGTGGGAGAAGGGAGGGGGCTCTGAGGGGCTGAGAAAAGGGGAAGGGATACAGAGAGCAGAATTGGTTAAGGCAAAGAAAAGAGAGAAAGGACAGGATATTGGACGGGGGACGAAAGGGGGAGGAATTTAAAGAGGGTGAAGAGGGCAGCGGCAAAGAAACGGGAGAGTAAAGCTGCAGGAGAAGGAAAGAAAGAACAAAAGTATCTACAGTGAGACCTAAAGGACTCTGTCCTCAAGGAGGAGTGGAGAAAAAGCTGATCAATGCAGCATTTCTCCACCAACTGAGAGCACACAAAGCCAGGCAGCAGACATTGATGTATGGTAGGTCGTTAAAAAAATAAATAAATAATACAGCAGACCTGTAGCATTGCTACCATGTGTCACGCTGTTTTTATTCCTCCGTCTTCCCACTACTGTACTAGTGTCTAAAATGAAGAGATTGTCCCCTCTTTCTAATGATGTGACAGCATTTTCATTTGATCCAAGATCCAAAGCCTTGTGTGTCTGCGAGCTTGTGATGAGTCTGCTGCTAATCTGGTTCTGAATCAATAGTAATTGTGAATCCTGTCCTCCGCTGTCGTGTCCTTTAAGTCCCCAAGCTGCCCTCACACAACACAGCTCATCAGCAGGCCTTGTAGCTTGTCTGGCCTTTCACTCATTCTCCCGTCTTTCCTCCCTTTTTTCCTTCCACCAATCTTCACCGTACATGGAGAATATGTGTATATGGTGATGTTAGGTAACTTGTCAATCCCTGTGTTTCGATGTGTGTGTCTTGTTTCTCTGAGACAATGCCTCCACTCCCCCTCTCTGCTCATTTTCCCACACAATGTCTCTCTGTCTCCGACAAAACAGTCAGTTATTCAATCCTGTCGCCTGCTATGAGCACACATGGAGTTCATAGAACTACTCCTCTCTCTCTCCTCAGGGGTGGAGAGGTGGCACTGAACTGGCAGCTTCTGTGCAGCCAGCTGGATAGAAAACAGCCCAATTAGCACTGCTGGGCCAGACGGGGCCACGGCAGGTCACACCAACCTGGACGGGGCCCAGTGAAGTTGCATTAGGAGACAAAGTAGGTGCAAAAAAAAAAAAAAAAAAAAGGCACATATACAGCTGCTGTTCTGTTAAATAACATAATCCAAGCTAATGGATATGACAATCTGACTGACAGGGTGAACTTCTCTGTAACATACTTAAATTCATGTCAATCAGCTGTTCGCACTAATAAATGAAGGCTGGAATCAGGACTGTGGCACTCTGTTAATGCAGTTACAAGCACTCAAGCACACGCCACATGGCATGCACACACACACACACACACACACACACACACACACACACACACACACACAACTCACAGGCCTTAATATGATAAGCAAGTGGAGCGTTACACAATTGGTAACCAGACTCTAGCAGAAGCTGTGCTCACTGACTGAACGACAGATTTTATTTAGAAAGGACCAGTTGGCTGTTATTGACATCTTGTTCCCAATCTGTCCCCCACACACTCCACAGCCAAACACGAAACACCGGACACAGCTGTATCACATGAGGCGTGGGGTAGCAGCAGCAGCAGCAGCAGCAGCAGGGGTTGGTTCAGCAACTCCACAATTCATTTTGGTTCACGGTCACTGCCAAAAAAGTTGGACACAGAGCTCTACAAACATTCAGTCCAACAGCAGCAAACTTGGCAGAAAATCTGTGTGTGTGTGTGTGTGTGTGTGTGTGTGTGTGTGTGTGTGTGTGTGTGTGTGTGTGTGTGTGTGTGTGTGGATATCTGGATGACTTGGGGTGGGTGAGAGTGATTTAGGTTTATGTGAGGCAGCTGGATTGCTTCAGATTTCACAAATGTGAAGTTGTAAATGTTAGGAAGTAGAGCAGACATTGAATACTCCAAAGATTCATTTCTGTCTTGCAAGAGGCTGTGGACGAATGAAATACAGATGATAGTCTGCGCTTTACGGAGGTTAACCCTCGTCGATTGTTACATTTACGTAAATGCAAGGAAGGTTACAAAAGCCAACTTATATACATTTACACTTGTACTGTAAACATACTATTCTGTGCTGCAGATAGTTTTGTGTTTTTCATGATCATATTATATGAAGTTACTGTGCAACCTGATGATAATAAGCAGCGTCTTCAATAATAAATCAATGACATTGGGAGAGGAAGCTTATAATATCTCACCACTGTTCCCATGAAATCAAATATGTAAAGGTTTTTATCACTTTATTAAACTATCCTTAACATCTAAATAACCAGGCTCCTCAGGCTCTCAGTGTGTGCCAATAGGTAACTGTAAGGTGTCCTTTCATAAAACCCCTCTGAATAGATGTGATTTTAAGAGGAACAATACATGTATATATAATATGTAACCACAGATCTCATAATTTTAAACTTGAGTTAAAACAGTTTTTTAAAGAAGGATCATTAATGTAGTAATTAATGATAAATCAGGTGATTTTGCACAGGTAGTCCATAAGGGCGTTACCCTGTACCTTCGTCCCGATGGTAACAACTCATACTCACTACAGAGAGGATGTGCTACACCCCCCTTTCCTCACCCATCGGGACTCACCATTTGGTACAGACATTTATTCCCTGTAGGAGATGAAGTCTAATAACCTTGGTGATTCTTTCTTTCATCTAGCACAACTTATCCAGTAAAATAGCTCAACCTTTTCTAGATGGATTGGCACAAACTCCTGGGACAGACATTCATGGTTAGCAGAAGATAAATCTTGATGAGCTTTCCTCTAGTAGCTACGGAAGCCGAGAACAGCCATGGATTTTTTTTATATTTCATGCACTGTTATATCGTGAAAACAATTATCTCATTATCTCGATATAACAAAGTTTGTTTTCTTGTGATAACGAATTAATTATTTCGTTATCTCGATATAACAAAGAACGGCTTCCAGTCAAATAAACAAACTAACGTAAAGTGTAACTTACCGGTAGGCTGCAGCCACAGCCAGTGGCTACGGAAGCCGTTCGTGGCAGCTCTACTAGGTTGAAATCAAGATGAACACATTATTAACACATTAGTTATCACGAGAAAGCGATTTTTGTTATATCGAGATAACAAGATAATAAGTCGTTATCACGAGATAAAAGTGTATTAAAAAAAGAAAAATCCATGGCCGTTCTCGGCTTCCGTAAGTAGCAACAGCAGATTTACATTTGTTTTTTTGTGAAAACTATTGGATGGATTGTCATGAAATTTGGTCCACAACATTTCATCATCAGGGCAAAACACAAGTTTGTCCATTACTTTTGTTTATGACTAAATACCTGGAGAACGTATTCTACCAGTTTGTTATGTTTGTTTGTTATGTTTATTAGCAAATGCTAGCAGGCTAACATGGTAAACTGAGACAATGAAGCAGGTTAACATCACCTGTTAAATAAATATCAGCATGTTAGCACTGACATTGTGAGCATGATAGCTGTACAGCCGCACAAAGCTGTTTGCGTTGTTAGCACTTGTTTGTGTTTCGTTGTTTTGTTCGAGGGACGGGTGTTGTGAGGAAACGTAGGCTTTATATGCTGTTGCACGTGCTACGTTTCTATTCCCATAAAAAGCAAACATTAACAGTCCCACGCTACTTAAAAATGTGTTTTTCTTTTTATTCCTGCAGTTGGATGTCCGAGCTTCCGTGTGCAGAATGATGTACGCGCAGAGTTTGACACTGGAAGGATGATTTCACATTCATGCAGAAAGTGGAAAGTTTCTCTGTGCTCACTGAAAACCTGATTTTTAATGGGCCAACGAGCATGATTTGTGACACCACAAATAGTTTTGGAAATCAGTCCTGGTCCAGAATTTAACGTACACTTACACTCACATCCACTTTTTAATGAGGTAGGAGGAGTAGAGGCCTTAGACACACATTATGGTTCCAAGCAGACTATTTGTAATTGTCGTAATATATGTCTGGAGGGGATCTTTAAAACAAAGTAATCCACCAAAGAAATGAAAAAAAAAAAAACATTATTACAGTCAGCTTGTTTAAGTCCTTTGATTGCCACTGTTGCTTGTTGTGGTTATTTCTCTGTAACCTGTCTTCCAGACATAATCACATCTCCTGTTTTTCATTCAGCCTGTCAGCTCATTCCATTAGCATCGTGAAGACAGGACTCACCGTGCGCCGCTCATTTCATTTCCCCTTTCATCAGCGACCTGGCGAGGCTTGCGTTCCCCAGTGCACCATTAACTGGTGGGTCTTTTTGAAGATTAATAGTGTGCTGCATTGTGTTACAGATCTCTATAGATGGTTCTGATGGTTCCGGTAGACAGAGGCGTACAGCAAGACAGACAGAGAGAGAGAGGAAGATCTTAATGTCTGAGGAAGGTCTTTGGATGTTAGACGGTGATAGATGTTACAAGTCTGGAAAACTGTCTGCCTCACTTCTTCTGTTGCTGTCTGAGCCAATTTCCTTCAACTCAGTGATCCTTCAAAAACTGCACAATAGAGGGCTTATCTTTAAGTAAAAAGTAATATAAGGGCAGCCAGTAAGTCAGCAGCTACAACAGACCTCTGGGCTCTGGAATAATACTTACGTACAACTTTAATATTTCATATCACGGCGGAGAATAGAAGAGTTATATGGAGCTGATGATTAACTTTGGCTTTATGGTTTTCATACTCTTAATGTTTTGCTATGTGTTCATAAATAGAGTTGGCCTACATTATGGCGCCACTGCCAGTCATTTGTGCCATCACCATGGAGCTGTCACATCAATGAGGTCACGTCTCCTGTTTCCTCTGTAGGAGTAACACTGGTACAGTTTGAGGAGAAAATACACATTTACAGGATACTCTACATCCTTTAATATCCATCTACAAATATATACATCTATCCACAATCACACACCAATGCAACCCCTGACCCATGAATTAATATAATGAATTTACTGAGAAAGCCCAGGATTGATTGATCAGCAGCTTCCAGTTTCCAGAAGCTGCAACAATATGAATAGCATTCCTGAACAGCTTCAATTATCAATTGATCTAATGATCAGTTGGTCGAGGCCTCCGTGCTGGAGCAGCCAAAACACCATCCCAGAAAACACAGTGTGTGCCCTGGAGACACAGAGCTAAGACCAAAGAGGAGGAGAGAGGGAGAGGATGGCTGGCTGACTGCAGTAAGTGGGACAGAGGAGCAGTCAGCGGGGCAGATCGAGGCTAATGCACCCAGGCAGCAAGTCTTTCCTGATGTGCAAGTTCTGCCCGTCGTGTTTCTCCTCTGGCAGTGTGACCTAGGGAGCAGCAACTACCATCACATGTTGTAGCATACATCCCTGAGTCACAGCACAAAGGCCTGCAGCGGTGGGAGAGCACAGCCACGCACAAAACTCTCAGTGCACACAAGCGTGAAAGCAAAAACACCGAGCATCCACAGCTTTATTCCACACAGGGCTGCAACATCCATTCATCCCACAATATGATGCTGTTTATTGAAGAAAAAATAAATAAATACTCAATGATCCAACTTATGTGATGTCTATATGCACACTGAAGGCTGCGATATTACACGTGTCTTAATGGAAACGCAATCGGCGGGTCATATTAAATCATGTCATGCATTAAATGAAGGCCCCAGAACAGCAAAACGCATTGTTCCGGTCTAGTTGTGTTGCGCTTGTCATGCCTGGCACGGCACGGAAGAGCGCGGGGAAGGAACTGCTGCTGGTCAAATGATACGAGCACAGAGGAGGGGAAGGAAAAAAAAGGAGAGGCGACTGTCCCAGAGTGGCTGCACATCGCCTACGCCCATTCACAATGTGCGTGTTTTACTACCCAGACTCCTGGCACCCCCCCACCCACCCACCCTGATGATCCGTCAGGATTTAGTCCGTTCGTTTCCAATCTGTAGCCAGTGACTGTGATTTCACTGCGCACACGGGCAGCATGGCTCTCCACTATCCCCGCATGAGACATGTGTTAGTGAATATGTACAATGAAAATGTCATTCTCACGGTGCACAAATCTGCAGGATTTTTCGGACCGTGGTTCTGTTTAGTTGCCCAGTATCATTAATTAAAATGAGGATGGACAAACCGCGTATCGATCGTGTTTTATCGATCATTAATGCTTTATAAATGCTCCCTTAAAATAATCAATATTTATCATCGCACTGACCAGACACTAACTTTGATCAGTGGTCGCAGCCACGCCACTCAAACCAGGAGGCTTAACAAAGAAAGAAAAAAAAAAAAAAAAAAGGTCAGTCTTTTGTTGCTTCCTTTATAATTTTAATCGGATTTAAATATCTACACCGCCCCCCTCCCTCAAACAGGGACACGCGTTGGCTATATTCAACATTGTGGAGACGACAATCGCTTAAATTATTCATTTCGAGGTAAATATCAGTCCGAAATGGGCAGGAATGGATGCAAGGTGCAGGCGCCTCCGTACACAGCCGGGCGCTCCTTCATCAGACAATAACACCGGGAAACACCGAGAACACTCACCTCGTGATGTGAAGAGGAGACAGACGGACCGGGAGTCTGGGAGGGTTGTCCCCCAAAAAGATCAGCGACGTGGAGAATTAGAAAAGGGGGAACCGAGATGTGTTTCTCTTAAATATCCGCGGCGTCCTCCCCGGCCGGATGATGATGGTGATGTGGTGTGTGTGTGTGTGTGTATGTGTGTGTGTGTGTGTGTAGGGGGGGTTTGGCTATATGCTGGATGCTGTCATCGTACTGGGACTGCTCTCTGCTTAATCCTCGGCCCTGAGCTCAGAAATAACCCACCACCCCCCTCCTCTCTCTGTTCGTCTCTCTCTTTCCTCCCTGTCTCCTCTGCTGTCTGCCTGGAGGACCCCCACCCCTCCTCCGCAAGGTCAGCTACAGCCAATAATAATAATAATAATAATAATAATAATAATAATAATATTTAAACCAAAACTATAATATTTTACTATGTATAAAATCCAGTTTCTCAGCTAACTAATTTATAATATTTTGTCTTAATAAAGGTCGTTTTGACTGTAAACTGAAATAAATCTTCTTTTTAAAATCTTTATTTATAAGGACTATGATTTTATTCCTGATGGTATGTTACATAATCTTTCACCAGTTTATGACCTTGATTGAGCCCCATAATTCAAATTAACAAACAGTCCACAGGCAGGGCTGAGAAACTTCCCCAGGGACCCCACAGGCCCCATATCCATTGTGTCTCAGTTCATTTAATTAATTGCATATTTGTTTGGCAATCTCCACCACTAAATCCAAAATATCAGCTCATGATATAATCTTCTGAGGCCCCGTGTCACAATGTACATCGGGCATACTCCAGGTTATTAACCAGTTTATTAAAAACAGGGGGAGCACAATGCTATTTTCCCCCAAAGGCCCAAAATTCATTTAATTTTTCAGGATATTGTTTTAAGCAGACTTCGACTTATTAGCCGTAGACAGCCTGTAATGCTGTATTAAAGTGTATTAAAGACTATTTTAAGTGGATTTTACTTCCCAAAAGTGTGTACACATTCACATCTGCTACATCTACAATTTCACATCTCTTTAATAACGTTAACAGCAACATAAATAAAACTGATCATACAGGAGATAAAACAAGTTTCAATTTATTTTAAATAAAAGACATTTAAAAAAAAATTATTTAACAAATTAAATAATACAGCTGTGTCGTCATTAACCAAATAAATTAATATCCAAGCTCACCAACCTGTGGTGTAAATATAATGTGTAAATATAATGTGTAAATATAATGTCTACGTTCAGGGGGACACATTTAAACTTCGCCTTCTGGTGTCTCGTGCGGTTTGTCCCTCCGGGCTCACTGTCCTCCTTCGTAACTTCCGTTCTCACGCACTTCCGGTTTAGCTTATTCCATCCATGCTCCCGAAACGGTGAATTTTACAACACGAAAGGGAAGAAAAAGACCCAGAAAACCCACCGCGAAAATGTTCAAACTGGAGGGACTCGGACCTAAAATGGATCCGGAGGAGATGAAGAAGAAAATGAGACAAGACGTCATCTCATCTTTACGAAACTTCCTTATTTACGTCGCCCTTCTCAGAGCCAGTGAGTACAGGCAGATGACATTGACGTGCAGATAAATACCAATAATACTGACTCTTTTAACTGTGTTTACTCCACTGGTCTGTAGGACTTTGTTTGGCCACCTCATGCATGTTTATTCTCTAAAGGAAACACCAGTATTCCCAGTTATAGGTTATTGATTTGTTATTTAATGTGATACAGTGTCTCTTAAGAGTGCAAACATCACAGCAACATTAGCCATCTTGTCCTGATCCCAGAGAGGGTAAAAGTATCTTAAAACGCACTATAAACACTCTGAAAGCCCCTGTTTGAGACCTGTAGGGACCTGTAGGGACCTGTTTGAGACCTTTAGGGACCTGTAGGGACCTGTTTGAGACATGCAGGGACCTGTATGAGACCTGTAGGGACCTGTAGGGACCTGTTTGAGACCTGTAGGGACCTGTAGGTACAGGCTGTGCTGCTAAATCTCTCATTATCTAGAATGAATCTGTGTTTTCTGTGTTTACAGCTCCGTATGTGTTAAAGAAGCTGGACAGCATATGAACAGAGCTGGTGTCTTCTGCCGTCATCCACTGAGAGTTTACCGCATCAGAGACACCGAGGACCATCATCAGCAGGCGGCTGGGGCCTTTACAGCAGATCCTGTTGAAGACGACCGTCGTCTGTCCACCACTGCACCTGAGGAAACACCTTGTTCTCATTTATAGTCTGCCTTTTTCTTCTTAAACATCTTGTGATAGTTGTTGAATGCAAAGTTTGATAGTGTGTACACTGTATGCCTGCCATGTGCACACAATAAAGGGGAAACCATGTTTGTTTTGTTTGTTTGTTATTAGATAGGAGGTGCGCTCAGTCCTGCACACATGTTGAAATGGAAACTGTTAAACTTACAGGTTTTACAGTAACACCCTAAACATGTTCACTGCAAGGTTTGTGAGCATTTTTATGAATGAGTTTTAATATAATCATGAAAATAAAACAACAAAGAAAGGAATGGGAAGTGTCTCACTGTCTGTGTTTAATTTTTATAACATCTGAGACTTACACTACAGCCGTCTGTGTTTAACTTCAGAATTGGCCTTTAAATGTGTTTTTACCTGTGTCTTCATTTATTTACAGTGTATGCCTCAGTGCTTAAATATACAGAAAGGTTTTTAATTTGTGTCTTTAATGACGATTTCTTTGAGAAATTATAGTTGACAGGTTTTTCTGTCATTAACTTCAGTGATGGCTGCCGGCAGTCTTTGGTTGTTCTACAAGCTGTGTATTAATTTAAGAGACTGACACAATACAACATATACAATAAAGTCTTAAATTGATTCTGCTACCAGAGTCTAATTAGAGCAATAAAGACCACTGACAATTAAAAATATATTGCAAACAATCAATTATTTGACTTTTAGTGTTTTTTTAAATCAGATTTTAAACTGGTTGACAATTACCTTGAATGATACAATAAATATGACCTCCAGTGTGCAGTAACCATTGTAAGACAACCATTTATTTAATGAGATTTAACAAAGTACGATAAAAGCTGAAGTGAAATTCAACATAGATGCACTCACTCATATCACCACATGGTGGCGCTGTTGTTTTATTCTGAAAGTCGAAGAGACGACAAGTGATAGAGGCGCCGACTCTGGATGCTAAACCGGGCTGCTCGCTCTGAATCAGAAACATTAGGAACTACTACGAGAACTATATATATATATTATATTATATTATATTATATTATATATTCGAGTTGCGGCGGTAGGAGGAGGACCAGCAGTGCAGATATCGAGGCTGTTCTCGGAGACAAAGCTTGAGACCGCGCCGCATCCTTCCGTGTTATTGTTGGACCCGGCCCGCCCATACTCCAGAGCATCTCCAGGAAACCCGGCTACAGACAGACAATACGGTGCTATTATCCATCACAATGGAGGTAGGCTGTGAAATGTCCGGTCAGTCTGACGCCGGTTTCTGCAGATGAGATGTGGATAACGAGAAGCTGTCCCTGAGTAGCTGGACTTTTTTTTTTTTTTTTACAATGACCTTGGTTGTGTTGTTTTATTTCCAGGAGCACGACGGTCGTTAGGAAATAATACCTGTAATACTAAATAACAATAAACTCCACCACCTATTATGGACTTTCCAGGTCATTTCCAGCATATTTTCAAGCAGCTCAACCACCAGCGCCTCCATGCTCAGCTGTGTGACTGTGTGGTGGTGGTTGGATGCCAGAGCTTCCAGGCTCACCGCTCCATCCTGGCAGCATGCAGCTCCCACTTCAGGGCTCTTCTGAGCTCTAATGACAGCGGGGAAGATGTTGGAGCTGGTGGCCCCAGTGTGATGCAGCTGGATCCAGAGGTGGTGACCCCAGAGGCCTTCTCCACCTTGCTGGACATGATTTACACCTCCACCCTCTCTCTTGGGGCCTCCAATGTGATGGATGTACTGTTGGCGGCATCGCACCTGCACCTCAACACTGTGGTCAAAGCCTGCAAGCTCCATTTGTCCAGGAAGAACTTCCCAGCGTCGCCGCCTAAAGGCTGGAGGTCAGTGCAGCAGCAGCAGCTGTGTCCATCTTCCCAGGCAGAGGGATCAGTCACATCTGTCATGGAGGAGGACATCCGCGAGGAGGAAGTGGGAGTGGAGGTTAGTCAGTCTGGTGGGGTTGAAGACGACGGGGTGAGGGGGACAGTCGGTGGCGAGCAGAGCGTGGCACCCTTTTTGAGACACAAGAGAAAGTCACACGAGGACAGGCCCAGTGGCAGAAAGAGGTCCTGCAGGCTGCCTGAGGAAAACTATAAAGAGTGTTCACCTACTGTTACCAGAAGCACCGTCAGTATGGAGGAGGGAGGAGAGGAGCTGCTGAAGACAGCCCACGGGCTCTGGGAGGGCCGAGGTGAGGAAAAAGAGGAGGAGGTGGAGAAGAAATATGAAGCAACCGGGGGCGAGTCGGAGGAGATCCAGCTACCGAGCCAGTCGGACAGCAGCATGGGAGGTATGGGTGTGTGGGAGAAGGGCGGAGATACAGATGGAGACACTGTGGTCAAAGTTAAGGTGGGAGAAGAAGGGGAAGACGATGGAGAGGAGCCGAAGATGGTGGTGATTGAGGTGAAAAAGGAAAATCTGAGCTCATACTCTCCAGATTTGGAAACGGTACCAAACAATTCTCCCCCATCTCCACCACGAGACTGCACAGACAATTTGGATACGCAACTAAATGATGAGAAAATGTCCACAGCCTGTCCAGCAGAGGACGATGTGAGCTCTTTGCAATCTCAGCTGTGCACAGATCTTCAAACCGATGCACAGAGAGAGGCTGGAGACTTGGGCGAGGACTCAGTAGACGGTGAAGGCCTGGACAGCCTATCAGAGCTGGCCTTTTCCTGCTTCCTCAATCCCAGTAGTGACAGTGTAATGGGAGCTCTGGAAGAAGAAGACAGCCTAGCCAGCCTCACTGCTGCTGCCACTGCCGCCGCCGCAGCTGCCAGTGATGCTCCTGTGGCTGCTGGAGACGAGCCGTGTCAAAACTCAGAAGCTCAATCTTCTGATTCCTCCTCACTGGTTTTTCCAGTAACACCCGTCCCCTTGCAGCAGCTTCTCCCAACTCAGGGTCCTGGTTTTAACGACACACTCATCCTCCAGACCACCCAGAACTCTTTAGCAGAGTTCCTGAGGGGCATCAGACCGGGCCTCAGTTTGGAAACCCCCGTAATGCAACCCTCCAGGGGTGGGAAGAGCTCAGGGCCAACAACCTTCCGTCGCATCGCCCCCAAAGTGCCGCCTGGATCAGAAGCCGGCACAGATGGTTCCTCTGCATCGGCTGGGGATTCTGCTGATCGGCCGCTTCTAACCAGAGCTTCGGAGGACGTTCTCTCCAAGTGCAAGAAAGCAGCTGCCGAAGACCACGTGCTGCTGGTGGAAGGGGAGAAGAAATACGCTTGCAAAATCTGCTGTAAGACCTTCATGAACCTGACTGACTGCAAGAAGCACATTCGAGTCCACACGGGAGAAAAGCCCTATCCCTGCCCAAAGTGTGGCAAACGCTTCAGCCAGTCCTCCCATCTGTACAAGCACTCAAAAAACACCTGTTTAAACTGGAAAGATGATCAGTCATTCTCAGATACCCTGCTCTGACCTGCACTCGACTAACAGACATTTGATGATTCAGTTTGAGGCACAATTCTTTGTGAAAATGCCCTCTGTAAAATTCATTATTTATTACCCCATACACTTGATTTTATGTTACATAAAATTCAATTAGCTTATGTAATTGCTGTTTTTTTCAACCATGCTGTGATTTTGTTTCATTATTCCATGAACTGAAACAGATAAATTGTTGCCAAACTTTTGTGAATGCACTGAACATATTCTCAAACCGCTGTGAATAAATGATGCACTTGTTCATTTGTACTGATCTTAAGTCCATTTTGAACATTTCTAAAACACATTACATTTAAACCACGCCTACAGTTTCTTCTTTCATTCTTCAGACAAAACTTTTATTCTTTACACAAAACTGGAGTGTTGTACTGCTCTGTTCCAGTAGACATGGAGCATTTACATCAGAGTAAAGTGCAAACATAATAAGTACAATGCTAACCTTTATAGCAAAAATGATATTTAGAACGAGAGAGATAACCAACCACATATTCCATTTGACACAAACATTAAGGTTTTTCAGTTCAACTGCAATTTTCCAGTTAAAACTTGAGCATGAATGGTGTGTTGTGATAAGAACTAAGGTCAAGGAGTGCTGATAGTCTGCTCATTAGCCTCTTTTTCAAGAACTTCTATAAATCTCTCCGAAATGTCAAAACCTTGCACTGAGCACTTCCTTACTTCTATATTAAAAGTGCAATCCATTATTAACTAACAGGCTCATCAATCAAGTTAACACTCATAGGATGTAAACATGTATCTGAGCATGTCTGAACTACATTAGTATTCTTACTATTCTTCTCATCCTTTCACATTGGAGACCATTACTAGACCAATACACTGTTGTTATCTGTTATCCATGCAGCACCAGAGGAGGCAGTACTGTAGGCACAGCGGCTCACTTCCAGGCACTAGTAGGTGAGTTCACTGGGCATGTCTGTGCCCTGTAGACCTCCCAGCAGGTTTTGAGCTGACAAAGCTGCCATGATGCCTCTTGTGGAATAGGTGGCACTGCCGATGTGCGGCAACACCACTGCACGATAAGAGAGGAGAGGAAATTTAAAAAATGTAAATGTTACAAAGTGGGAAAAAGAAGTTAAAAACATGTCTACGTATTGCTCATCCTGTCTACTCACCGCAGTTTTTTAGTGTAAGAAGGGGGTGGTTTGTTGGGAGTGGCTCAGGTGTTGTGACATCCAGTCCAGCTGCAGCTATCTGCCCACTGCTCAAAGCCTCGTACAGATCCTCCTGGTTCACCACAGCTCCCCTAAAACCAGTAATTCACCACATCTTCATCCTTGTTAATTATAACTGCAAACATAGCTGGTGTCAACAACACATGACAAACCATCTACACCCAAAGCAATGCTTTCCCCTGAACGCACACCCAGGTTTGCGCTGCTTTAGACGTCTACCTGCTTGAGTTGACAAAGACGGCTGTGTTTTTCATCTTGCTGAAGAAGGCCTTGTCACAAAGCCCCTGGGTTTCTGGCGTCAGGGAGCAGGAAACAACTATGAAGTCGCTCTCAGACACAAGTGTGTCCAGGGGAACTGAGGACGATGAATACAAAGGGAAGAGAGGAAACAGATAATCAAATATATGTAGACCTGCAAACCAAATTTTTTATTAGATAGTTTAATAATAATATCAGATTTCCACATCTTCCTTCCTGTCATATCTCACTGTGCTCTTAATTGTTCCCCTTTCTCAGAATTAGTTTCTGTCCTTTTTCTTACCAAACTCTCCATTCACCTCAGCAGCGTGGGCCTTGGCTGTTCTCCCAGAGTACAGCAGCCTCTTCACTCCAAACGGCATGAGTCTCCGTGCAATGGCCATGCCTGAACACAAACACCATCAGTTTTCACCTACACCTTCGGCTACAGGGTCTAGTTGTTTGATACAATAGTAAATAGAAAAGTAAATGAAGCAATAACAGCAAGTCTTACCAATGCGTCCCAGTCCAATGACTCCCACTGTGCTGCCGGACAGGCCATAACCACACAGCCAGAGCGGCTTCCACGAGCTCCAGCCACCACTGAGTGAGAAAGAAAAAGACCACTGTGCGGCTCAATTAAGGCAATTACTGGTACTCGTGGTTAAAGAGTTACAGGAACAGTCACAATCAGAGTAGACGCTGATCTGTGTAAATGTGTAACTTGGTGAGACTGACTTTTTGACCTCCTCCACGCCCTCCGGCAACCTTCGAGCGGTGGCCAGCAGCAGAGCGACAGTCAGTTCTGCCGTGGCATCAGTCAGGACATCTGGAGTGTATCCGACACGTATACCGCTGTAGAAAACAAGCAGTAATATAACATAGAGGCCACGAGACACTTCATACTCCTAGTCGAAGGTTGGCTTTGTTGAGTGTGAGTTAGGGGGGTTGTTGTTGTTGTTTGTTTTTAATGTAACTTACCGTTTTTTGATTTCGTCAAGAGCCAAGTGGTCAAATCCCACTGACAGAGTGCTGATTACTTTCAGGTTGGGCCCTGGAATCAGAAACACAAATCTAAACACTTGTACACTTAAACACACTATTTCTTCCATTTTATATGTTAAAAAGCTGAAACAATTTGTGGATTGGTCGATTTGTTAAGGGACAGAAAATTAATCGGCAACAATTTTTTTCAATTCATAATTTTATACAATTTATTAGACAAGAAATGCAAAATTAGTAATGTGGATTTGTTGCTTTTCTGTTTCATATCATTGTAAATTATAGTGTCTATAAAAAGTATTCACTCCCCCTTGGAAGCTTTCATGTTTTATTGTCTTAAAACCTAAATTATTATTATTATCATTCCCAGTATTGTATATTTATGTAATCAGCACAATGTCCCAGTTCTACCTGCAGCATCCAGGACCTCAGCATCGATCTTATCCGACAGCAGACACAGAAGACCGTGAGCCCCCTGCACACCTTTGAGAAGCTCCTCTCTCGGCACAGGTTCATCCGAGTCCCACAGAGACACCTCACACCTGTTTCCATGGAGACAGAAAGGGACCAAAAGCATGTAATACAGGCACACAGACTGATATACAGGCGGTAATGGTGGATACATGTGTCCCGGCCCCGAGAGAGAGAGAGAGGTCAGTCACACACTGGACTTTAATTTGACTGCAGAGAAGTGTAACAGGACACCAAAGCGAAATTTAATGGCCGTCTTTAACGCACGGCTGAGTGAGACTGGAAGGAGAAGACAAGTGTGCAGGTACACGGTCAACGGTCGGTCTGCAGCTAGGTAACAAACGCTGCGTCGTCAATGTCAAATAGCCGTTAGTTAGCCGTTAGAAAAGACTGCGTACACTCCAGCCGTTGACAGGATCTTCATCCCCTCCGGCGGGATGCGCCTCGTCAGGAACACCTTCATGAGTTTACCGGCCGTCTGCATCCCCCGTTACCCGCCCAAATGAAGTCCTCTTCGGACAGGAGACCGTGTAACTTTGTTGGGTAGTTGTGTGGGAGGGGAGGGGAGGGGAGGATGGACGTCTCTCTACACTTCAAGGTCTGCTCTACTCTCTGTGGGAGAACTACACTTCACAAGCTCCTCCACACATCAGGAAGTACTTCGTTTTATAGCACTGCGCCTGCGCGGAGATGAGCGCCTATATCCCATCGGTTGGGTCGATGTGTGTCTCTAAAGGATCTTTTATTGGCATTTAGATCTAATTAAATATTAAATATACAGTTAACACAGTTCGTCTTGTCATAGTCTTGTTGGTTAGAATATCAGCTGTGTTAATTAATTGTAAAAAAAAAAAAAATTAAGTTAACATGAATTAATCTTTAGTTTATTAACACTTGGCTCTTTGCCTTGCCTTTGCTCGTTTTATTTATTCATTTATTTTTTGGGGAATTTGTGAATCTCCCGAAGCATCTCATCCCAGTAAGGGCATGTTTATGTTTCTCCTCTGGTTCCGCTTCCTGGGATCATGTAAAAAATGAAGGAGCGGACAACGTCGTAACACCGACAAGCGTCAGCTGGAGGACGCATGAGCACTGAGACTAATAATTCACAACGTTGAACACATGCAACAGCATAAAGTGGTGGTGAGTGAATGACTTGCATACAGCATGAAGTAAAAGTACAAAAGTATCTGCAGTAAAACAAACAAAGCACCAAAAAGTACTCATGTTGCAGAATGGTCCATTCAGAGTGATGTATTGGATTATAATTACTGATGTGTTGATGTGTACATTACTTCAAAGGTGGGGCTTATGTTAATAACTTTATACAGACCCACTGCCTGAAATACTGTAGTGGAAGAAGAAGTGCAGTATGTCCCCCCCCACCCTAGTATAGAAGTATAAAGTATAAAGTAGAAATTGAACTACTTAAGAACAGTTTTATATATACTGTCAATGAGTACAATACAAGAGTAAACCACTGGAATAACATTAGCCTATAATAAGTGCATATTAAGCTTTTACACACTAGAAACATGGGTTAATAAATTCTGATGCACTAATAGACTATTAAACTCCTACAACAGCCTTTAATGACTTAATAACTAGATCACCTGACTACAGCTACACCACACCCCTCACACGGTAACATGTCACCAGATATATCCCCGACACTGGTCATTTTGCTGTGTAAGTGGCGCTGATAATATATAATTATTTTTTACTTCTTTGTGGCCCACTGCGGGTAAAACGTATGACGTCACCGTCCGCTCCCTCGCGGTGCCGTCCTCGCGGGCAGCAGCAGCCGCCGCACTGCTGTAAATGGTGAAGTCCTCAGCGTCGAGTACAGCAGCGGAGGGCGGACTGAGGAGCGCTCCGTACTTGAGGAACAAAACAAGAAGCCGTTTTTAAAAAGCAGGAAATTAGACTTCGGGACTTCGTGTGAAAAAGGTGAGAAATAAAACATATATTTATATACATTAATGTCGTGGACACAGTGGTTATCGACAGCTGTTAGCGCCGCTAACAGGTTTGTTTGGGGTTTAGTTGCAGAAACGAACCGAGGTGTTTCTTTTTTTTTTTTTTTAGCGTGTCAGTCAGGATCAAAACACTTCTTTTTTTTATAATTACTCATCTATTGACAATGCCAGGATATAAGTCAGTGTATAATCTGCACGCAACGAGCTGAAGACACATATTTGCTGCCGTATAAAGCAGGCACTATTCATACCCTGATGATGGTCAGCAGTACACAGAGTCGAGAAACCCCTCAAGGCGAGATTTTAGTGCAGACATTAGTCTCATTATGCTCACTTCCGGTTACTGGTATGTCATTTGTTTTATATCCTTATACTTTAGACACGCTAAATCTGCAAGACTGCACTTTATTAACAGTCATTGCAGCCTATATAATAAGCTCAACCACAATACGAGACAGGCTTTATGTCTTTTCTACTAGTTTGTTTTTAATGTGTGTTTTTTTATTATCTGGCACTAAAGGAATGCAGTTGAATTTCTATAAATGGGAACAATGACAATAAATCCGAGCTTAGATGGGAGATATGTGTAATGTTATAGCTTGATATGTATTGTAAAAGCATAATGTGTTTTATTTTCTTTCAACTCAGTTGTGTAAGCCTTTATAGATTAAAATATAGAGGTGAAATATCACATATTGATTGATCCTGTGAATCCAGTTATATCATTGCTGGCCCAATACAACCAGTTACGACTAAACCTCTGACTATATATATATATATATATATATATATATATATATATATATATGTGTGTTATATATATGTATGTATATATCTATGTGTTATATATACATATATATGTATGTGTATATCTATGTGTTATATATACATATATATATGTGTGTGTGTTATATAACCCTACTTTATGTCTGTTGGGTTAAACAATGAAAATCCTGTAAAAAAAACAACAACAAACAACTGGCATCCTCAGACTTTTCTTCAGAAATCACTCATATAAACCCTTTTTATTGGATGTAATCAAACCGTAATATCCATGTGTTATTTCAGATTGAAAATACCAGCGTGTCGCTCCACCCACCGCACACCTTTGGCTGAGGAACTTGCAGAGCCTGTCGGAGCTTGCCAGGAGCAGCAGGTTTAGTGGAGAAATACCTGTAGAGTGCAATGGCTCTGTTGACCCTGCATAGGATCCCATCCATCTCCACGGCTCCAGTGAGTTCAGTAATCCCCGTGCTTTGTAGTACACAGTTGTTGGCATGTTGCGTCATATACACAGACGTAATATTGTTTAACTTTTGCTTAACAAAGAGTTCATTCATGCTGACCCCTACAAGTTTTGCATGAAGAGCAGTTCTTCCTGATTGTGGATATCATCGCTGCATTTGCCAGAATGATAAACAAGCTGTTTTGTTTTTCAGTTGCCAAGGATGTGATTGCATTGATTACTTACTAACTTACCACAGATATAGCATCATCAATGTGATTAAGCTCCTGTTCACATTCATTACAGTGATATCAGAGAGTGATTGGATCACCTTCTGTCTGTCACACTGCTCTCCGACACTGTAGTTCTTTAATGCTAGGGCTGTGCCGGACGTCATGTTATAACACTCAAAGCGTGTTTTGGTTTGCAAATGCAACTTCAAATGTTTGGCGTCATATTTTATGTCATCAACCGAGAAAAAAACATCCTCAATTTGAATGAAGTGATTCATTGGATTAAATGAGTTAGTCTTTTTATAAACCACCTGTCTTTAATGAATGGTGTAGGGAGCAGCCTAATCCAATAAGGGCTTAAATTAATCATGAAATTCAGATACAGAATATGATTGTTGTTTTTTTAGCAATTTAAGTAATTTACTATAATAGTGTTTGAGCCAAAATAGGCTTTTTATTGTGTTTATAAATGTAATTTATGGTGTTATTAGACTGCCTGTTAATACAGGTGCTGCAGTGAAAATGTTGTTTTTTTAAAATCTAAATGCCAAAAAAATATGAATTTAAGCAGAATATTTCATAAGATAAAAACAAGTTGTACATTTAGGAAATAATTACATCTTTTCTCAAAAAATTTAACTTTTGGATTTTACAATACTCAGGGGAGAAAAGTTTGGATCACACAAGTATGAAACAATCCTACGCAGCCGTGGAATCTAATTTTACAAATGGTATGATACTAATAATATTAGTGTAGCCTAATCTTTATCTGCAGCTGTGCAGGATAAATAGACATGCAGCATATGACTGTTGATTTAGAATTTGAATGTTAAGAATGAAGCTTTGAACTGTTCGGTACAGCCCTGTTTAATGCACACATATGAACACTGTACAGTCAGCCACTGTCTTCAATGTTATCTCCTCTCATTCTGTCACTCTGTCATGAAGTTTATTTAACTTTACGTCCAATGCTTAACTTTTCTTCTGGTGTTTGTCATTGCCAGCTAAACCATAAATGACCTGACTGTGGGTCCAAGTCTCATTTTTTCACAGAATCTTATCACTCTACTATCTTAACTTGTGTTTTCTCCCTTTTTTTTTTCTTCTTCAACCCTCATCGTTCCTCTCCTGGCTCCTGCCCACTTCTCCTCTTTAATTTGTTTTTTTTTGTTTTTTTTTTACTCTGTCTGGACTTGTCAGTTGCGTAACAGGTAATGTTACTGTCTCAAGTTTCTTTCTCCGTAAACCCTTGTTACTACTGCTTCTTCTCTCTCCCTTTCTCTCGTTTCTTTCTCCCTCCGCTCTCTTGCATTGTATTTCTTTTTTAATTTCTTATCCTTGTATAATTTCACTGCCAGTATCTTTGTTTTTATCCCGCCCCCCCTCCTAGTGCACGCTTCCCTGTGCTTACACATCACTCTTTGTGTCTGTCTCCTCACATCACTCTTCCACTGCACCTTATCTGTGTTGCACCACATTTCACCCGAGAAATTACTGAACATTTTTTTTTTAGCCTTTTGTGTCCACACTTTTCAGTAGGAAAAACATCACACACACACACACACACACACACACACACACACACACACAGCCTCCAATGCTCCCAGGAAGTTTGTTACAGCGTTTAAACACTTTATCAAGTTTGAAATGTGCCCTTTTGGGAGCATTAGAAATAGTATGATATGTTTTCTCATATTAATTAGTGCAGTTTGTTCTTTGGGGTGTGCATATGTAAACTCTTTTTCACATTTACACACAACCTGCACAACAGAAATGTTACAGCCAAATGTTACAGTGGAATATATAGTACAGTTATAATCATTAAAACAAACACTTCTTGATGAGGCTTGTGGCTTTATTTTATTTTTTAAGGATGAAAGCCTCCAAAGAAGAGGGAGACTTCAGAAAAGGTAGATGTACGCAAGTATTATTGTTCATCTAATTACAATCCTACCAAAAGGATTCCCTGTTAGTAGAGTACAGCAGCGTTATACTAACTGACTTCTATCCCTCTCTAGGGAGAGCTTTGCCCTTGTGAAGGGGGCTGTCCTCCTGCTGGAAGATGGTGACAGGGCAGACATTAATGAGGAGACTTCTCCAGCTCCAGCGTCTCCTGTGAAGGAAGGGAATAGAGGGTCAGACACGCGCAGCAGACAGCTTCATGCCATGGTTGAACTTCTCAGACCAGAAGATACCATCAAGCTGGTGAGGCGTACCTCGTGTTTACATGCATGTCGAAAATCAGATCAGGAAAACCTGACATGTGCTACACAGAAAGAATGTTTGTGAACTTCCATCAACACGTTTAATCACACAGTTATAACATCAGTATGCGATCTCCTTGCATTATGGGTACCTTGTGACATACACAGGATTGGTATTGGTATTGATACTAAAAGTAATGCCTATATTCTATTTAATCTATTCTTGATTCCACTTTAAATACTTTGAATTATTTATTTTTGAAGTTTCTTTACTTATCTGTATACTTATTTCTGTCCTTGTGCTGCTGTAACAACCAATTTCCCCCAATGTGGGATCAATAAAGGATTATTTTATTTTATTAAGTAGATTAGGTATCTGCAACGCTTTGCCCAATCCAGTTTCTTTGTTAATGTCATTATAAAATTCAATATTGCTGCTAACATTCATTCAGTCACGGCAGGTTGCCAGTCTCAGTTTTTAGTGCCACTGCCCCCCTGGGACCATGATACCAAAAATAATTCCAATAAATTCCAATGCAGTGAGGTTCACAGATTTTGGGACATAAAAGATCTCTGGTATTAGATTGTTACTCGGTCACAAGAGAGAATAACTCGGACAGTTCACCTCTAACATTTGAGAGCACTCCGGACTATTGGAGTAATTAACTTCTTCTGTATTGGAACTAACTGTCAGAGAGTAGCTGCATTTGTAGAAATGTTATTGCATTCATCAGAAACTAAAGGCAATAACATCTCACACACTTGAGATTATTATAAGATGTATTGTGCAGATGTAGGGGGACAGTGTGCTGTGGATCAGTAACGTATTCCTGATGCTTTCCAAAGCATTCCACTTAAAGCACGATCTTGAGATAGACCAGTATGTTTTGCAGGCAGCTGCTGGAATAATTTCTGCTCTAAAATACGAAAACATTCTTGATATGGGTAATCCATCACTCGGAACATTTAGTGAGATTTATTTTTTGTGTCAGTTTTGTTATTATTGCGTGGTAATACAGCTGAAATCATGAAAAAAATCAGATATATAAGATAGCAAACAATAAAAATATTAGATTAAATGATTTATTGTTCAGCAGTCAGCTCTTAAAGTCATGGGTTTAAGAGCTTCCCTCGAGAACTTGAACGCACAACTTTATTTTCAGCTATATTACCATGCATTAGTTATATTAAAGAAATAAAAGTGCGATCAACTGCCCAGAAATGTTTTGAAACCAGAGGCTGTGTTAATGGCAGAAAAAGAAATCTATCAATCTAAGCTATAACATGGTAATTGTGAGTTAATGGGCTCAAATGTACAAAAGAACACAACTGTGGTCCTTTAAGTGGACTATAGCCAGTATCTGTGTTTCCCTGCAAACACAACATTTACTTCCTTGATTTGATTTTCCCAGGAAGGCCAGGGGAAAATATTTTGCACTGTGTGTAATGGGACAGGTTTATTTGGTTTAATGGGTAACTTCAGACTTCAGAGGAAACTGCAACATGTAAAGAACATTAACTTGGCCTCACTCCTCATGCCCTTCTCCTTTCTGTCTCTCACATCCTCTTGTCCCCCTGCCGCTCTCTTCCTCTGCGCTCTCGTCATGCAGGCGGTGCAGTTGGAGTCAGTCAGCCCGACCAGAGTCAGGTATCTGATCGTTGTCTCCACCCTCGGCAACAAACAAGAGAGCATCCTGCTGGGCATGGATTTCCCCAACTCAGACAGGTGTGTGTAACCAAGATGCTGGTGTACAATGACACAAAGAGCGCACAAGATAAGATTTCCATTCAGTTAGTAATTTCTGGTTTAGCTTTGACAAGTTAAACTTCCTTCCTTGTCTTATGTCTCTGTGTCCTCCCTGCTTCTTTGCAGTGATCAGTGCACAATCGGCCTGGTTCTGCCAGTATGGAGCGACACACAGGTGTACCTGGACGGAGATGGGTGAGAAATATTTAAAAGAGGGTTTGAGGGTTTTGTAAAAGCACAAGCAAGGAGTTTATTAGACTGCAGCACAGACGGTGAGGCCTGATGTCTGGGATTCTGGCCAGAGATAATATGAATGAGTAATGTCTCTATTTTTGGAGCAGTATCATTCTCCATAAATTACAATTGCTCCTATCACTCAGTCAGACACTTACATAAGCAAGGAGATCATGTGTTTTTGCAGTGAAATGAAAGGAAAGTAGGGTTGGCTTCTTTCTGTGTGAGTATGAAAAGGTCAGTAAGAGTTTAGCTGCTGAAAGCTCTGGTAAATACACTTCCTGGTTGCACTGCGGTGCATCAAAAACCCCAAATGACCACTCGAGCTCACTTTTACTGTTAATCTGAATGAACACAGGATTGTTAGCAACCGGCTGTAATTTGATTAAATGGTTGAGGCTGCGGCTTGTGGTTACTCATTACAGTGTTTGTTAAAAATGTGGCAATCTATGCTCAGAGGAGGATGTAGAGAAGGGCACTATGAAACTGAGACTTAGCAGCTCTAAGAAACCGTCGGGCTAACACGGTGTGGCGGCTCGTCTGTCGACTGCTGTGTTTGAACTAATCTGCTGTCACGTGCCAAGTGTCATACGAGACGCTTCGATTGGCTGCCGTGTCAAACCAGCATGTTCACCCTCATCACACCTCCAACTGTGCTAATTTCTCTCTCTCTCTCTCTCTCTGTCCTCACATTTTCATTCCTCCCTTCCGTCACAAGAACCATCACTAATTTACACTGAATAATCTCTCTGTCTGTCCAGCGATCAGTATTAGTTCCTCATTCCTCTCTTTCTTCTCTTTATCTTCCCCTGACTTAATTATTGTAGCTTATATTTCTGTCTTTTTTTCCGCAGTGGTTTTAGCGTGACGTCAGCTGAAGAGACCAGAATTTTTAAGCCTGTTTCCATGCAGACCATGTGGTGAGTGAAAGAGCTGCCACCCATGTGTTAATGTTAAAACATTAATGGCACCCAGCATATCACTTCCTAAATTGCCTCATCAACGACTGCATGACTTTCCGTCTCTCTAAATCTTGAGACTGCTATTAACTTCCGTAGCCTCTCTTATAGACTTTTACTGTCCTCAAATATACGCCATCTTCTGTCCTCCCCCTCCCCACTGCTGTAAGGTCAGTGCTGCAGGTGCTGCACGGCTGCTGTGAACGGGCAGTCAAGGCAGTGGTGATCCCAGGCAATGGCCTTGAGTGGGCCCAGCACTACCACCAGCACGTCGAGTCAGACCGCTTCTGCCTCAACGAGTGGGAGGCCATGAACGACCTGGAGTCGGTTCGCAGAGACGGTGATGGACAGACGTAAGAACAAGTACCTCGAAACTGTAGTTAGGTTTAGTACTTGAGTGAATGTGTGTAGCTAAAAATTTAAGTTTCACTTTTTCTTCGCATGGGAAGCTCGGCAGACAGAGTTTCCAACGAGGGACTGATAAAAGAGCACCTGAGAGACATCATGAGGACTGAAGACCTCGATAACCTTACGTCTAAAATGGTAACACATGTGGGCAGATGTGAAGAGGAAGTTGGCTTACATGAAGTCAGAGAACTACTAGAGTGAAGAACGTATCCCTATATAAGTAGATCTTTCCTTTGCTACTTTAGGTGCACTCTGCCCTGGAGACCAGAATAGGCTTTGACATGAGACCTTATAAGGAGTACATTGACAACGAAATCCTGGTCACCATGGCGCAGATGGACAAACCCTCCAAAATATTTGACTACCTTTACCTGGTGAGTGATTGCTCGGCTACAAAGAGAAAAAGACAAAAACAGTAAGTAAGCTTCATTTTACCACCGTCGTGAGAAGTCTTTCTCATGCTTCGGTCAGTACACTGACGGAAGTGTGCTTTCACCAGGATGTTGTCATGTGACTATAACTTCCCCTTTGTGGGAGATCTGTGTTGACAGTGATAGGGAAGGCGACTCTGCAGTCCCTTTCCTTTTTGTCCTCTGTGACCTCGACTGAACCTCTCTTTCGTTATCTGGTTTCAGGGCTCCGAGTGGAACGCAGCTAACTTTGAGGAGCTGCAGAAAAACAAGTCAGTGTGTTCACCTGCAACATTTCCCATAGCTCTGTGTATTGTTGTTGCCCATTTCTGTTTCCCATTGTCTCATGACACGGGTAATACTCAATTGTTTGCTGTGTTTTGCTGAGTCACCGCAGTGTCTCTAAGGTTGTGTCTGTTTGCTTTTCAGTGTGGGCTATATTCTGAATGTAACGAGGGAGATTGACAACTTCTTCCCAGAGTCCTTCAACTATATGAACATCAGAGTGTACGATGTGGAGGCCACCGACCTGCTCCCTCACTGGACAGACACATACAACTTCATCAACACTGCAAGGTAGTCCTGCAACCCTGAACACATCAGAAGACACTTAAAAGCCAAACTTTTGAAGAAGCACACATTTAGATTTGTTCAGTTTCTATATGTAAATATAAGGCTGGACCCAAAGACGGTTAACTTGGCACAGAGACTGGAACAACAGGGAAACAGCTAGCCTGGCTCTGCCCAATCGTAACACAATCTGCCTGCCGGCACCTGTAAAGCACACTAATTGCTGGACTATTTCTTGGCTCTCAGCAGTTGCCAGGCAACCAGCCGAGCCAGGAAGTTACTGTTACTGTAAAGTACATTTTTATTCATATAGCCCAAAATCACAGATCGCAATCTACCTCAGGGAAAACTCACTCAAAAAAACCTGTAATAGGAACAAATTGAAGATTATTACATTATAAACACATTTTGATGAAACAATTTCTGATACATGAAGTTAATTCGTTTTTGAGAGGCTTTTAGGCAAAACAAATTTTTACTTGCAAGCTGTTTCCTCCCATTTCCAGTCTTTCTGCTAATCTAAGGTAATTTAGCTTCTGACTTTAGTTTCATATTTAGTGTACACACAAGGGTTACATCAGTCTTCTCATCCAACTCGGTGGCAGAAAGTTCAGGAGTGTTTTTTCTCAAAATGTTTCAAACTATTCCTTTACATCATGTTAGCTTTGCCTCAGTCAGGTCACTGGGAAATGTCTTGACAGCAGTGTTGCAAAGAGAATAACACAAAAAGAGCGCTTCTGTAGTTTTCAGTTGTTGTAGCAGGATGTCTAGTCACTTCCACTGTTTGTCAGGGAAAGTCCTTGAACCACTGAGGGAGCTTCTCTTGATCTCTGTGTATCGCAGGAAGAGCGGACAGGCGGTGTTGGTGCACTGTAAGATGGGCGTTTCTCGCTCTGGGTCCACGGTGATTGCCTACGCCATGAAGCAGCAGCACTGGTCACTGGACGTGGCATTGGCCTACGTTAGGGATCGCCGCTCCATCGTCAAGCCCAACGAGGGCTTCATGAAGCAGCTCCAGACCTACAACGGCATCCTCAACGCAAGGTCAGGCATTGCTGACGTGAAAATTAGAATTATTATTATTATTAAAAGACAATGTCTATCTTAAGAAAATATCAACCATTCTCGAGTTATTTTTTAGATATTGATTTGTGGGCTCCTGAAGATTGTGCTTTATGTTCCTCTGTCACTCCAGCCAGCAGCGTCACAGCGCACTCTGGAGGCGAAAGTCTAGAGAACAAAGACAAAAGTCAGTACGCAAGGAGGAAGGAGGGGAGGAAGGAAAGCCAGAGGAGGAAGAGGAGTACGATGAGGGACTCGATGAGGGACTCGATGAGGGACTTGATGATGAAGATGACGATGTGGATAGTCCGGATGAAAAAGATTATTCAGAGGAAGAAACAGAGGTAATTAGTTACATCAGTTATATGTTCTTAGCATTTTAAATCTTGCAGATTTTAAATCTTCAATCCTTTTATCTTTCCAAACAAAGCAGGTGTTTGAAGGGCACAACCCTCAGCCTGATACCAACCAGAAACCCGGGCAGACAGAGCCCACAGGAGTCAGCCCTGTTATAACAGTGAATGAACCAGACAAGGTGAGCAGTACATCTGAAGCTGTTTATCTTCACGTATGTCTTCATGTGCAGCTCTCCTTCCTTCGCTAAACATTTGGAGTTTTTGTTTTTTTCTTTCTCTCTCAAGGTCGCTCCGAGTGTTAATCGCAGTGGCAGAATGAACCTCTTCTCCCTCATGCAGTCCATTAGCGAACTAGATGATGTGGATAAAGGACAGGTACGTGATGCTGAGTGGCAGTCTCTCTTTCTCTTCATAGTTTAGCTGTTGCACAAACAAATGGCTGATTTGTAAGTTGTGGAAATGTGGAGGAGCCTGATGTTTAAATGAACTCAGGAAAGAGTCATTAGATACTTGGACCGCTGTAATTACTGCTGATATTTCGACAAGCATATCAGTTTAGTTAAAGTGAAAAAGTTTTTATCAATAATGCCGGAAATGGTGTTTTATTTTAATGATTTAATGTTAAAAAACAGTCAAAATGCGACGCTCACTAAATGTGGCCGCTCTATAAGCTACTCTTCCACATCTTTGTTCTTTCTAAAGATTCCTGGCAGTCCGAGGCGGAGACGTAGTCACGGGCGAAGGGGTCTGATCCACCAGAGAGCATATGTGGATGTTTCACCTGAACCTCGAAGCCTGCCGGACGCCGGTCAAAGCAAAACCTAAAGAGATCAAAAAAGATGGAAGAGCAGGGAGTTACAGGAGGGAGAGTGACCTATAAAGGAGGCAGAGAGGAAGTTCTGAAGGAGACAACACCTGAAGGAAAGTGTGCTCCGGTAACATGCCAAGGTTTTTTTATACACTGATACGCTCTGGCTTTATATTTTAGATTATTTAAATGATGAAAGTTTTAAAGGTCTTTCTCTATCACATTATTATTATTATAACTGATGGTTCAAAGTTAAAAAGGATCTTGCTGCAGTATTGCTATACCAGTGTAAGCCAGAATATCTGATGGTTAAAGTGATTTTCAGTGTATATTGTTGTATTATCATGTTTATTTTCAGTGTTTTTAGAAACATATCTTGCCACATATACGGTCTCTCCCTCCATGTAGCGATCTGCCCTTCTTCATTTATCTGGCACCACTCCAGACTTCATATCTATGCAATTACTGTTCTTTTATGAGGCTGTATGCTGCCAATCCAAGGTAGACGGTTTAAAAATGTGTGGAATATTCTCTCATCAGAAGACGTTAACGTTGTTCACTGAGTGGAGGATTTCACTGTATCCAAGCTGTGCATTATGGACCAAGTCAGGGCCAGTTCTATGGCACAAACCTGTCTGCCAAACAATTTATTCCAGTGTGCCAATGAATATATTTAACTGCAAATCTATGTCAGTATGTTAAGAAACAATGTCACCCCTTTTATTTTTATTCCCTCTATTTAAACACCGGGACTTTATGAGTGCCTTCAACCTGAGAATGAAATATGAACTCTGACTGGTGTTTTTAATGTTTTTACTATGAAGTGATGGCTGCATATCGTATCTATCTTTGCTGTTTCTCACTTGGTTTGATTGCAGTATAAATGTGACTTCCCAAGGTTTTTGCATGTATGCGTAATGCATATATAGCAGCACATAACTGCTGATGACCTGGGTGCATGCGTTTTTCTACCAACATGTGAGAGCAAATTGTTCAGGGTTTTCTCATGTATTTATATTGACACTTAATGGGTCGAGATACATTATTCAGTATACTGTTTTCAGACTTCTGGTCACTAGATGCTGATGTGAAATATTCTTATTTCATGCTGGTGTTACTTTTGATCCAGTGAACCCCCAGCTAAAGCTTACCCCGTTAAACCCGCATGCTCACCGTTAAAAAAACATGCACTTTATAATCCCACAACACACACTGTTCCCACAGCCTGAGCCAACGTCACACTGTATTCTGAGTAAAGAATTGAATACTCTTGTCTCTATGCCTTGTTGTGTTAAGCTCACCACTGTCTGCACCTCTCTCGTTTACAACAAGCCCTGTGAGTGACAAATAAAATGATGATACTCTTACCACCAACCCCTTTGTTTCTTGATTAAATAATACACCAGGGAAGAACTGAGTCTGTTCAGAAACATTTTATCCACAAGAGACAAAGCACAGGGACAAGCAACCTTACTCTCATCACTCATTTTGATTCTCTTTATATCGTCCTTCACTGTAGCGCTCGTCATCTTGATATCGGTACAGTCATAATTAAAAAAGAGCCGAGAGGAAGGGATACACAGGATGTTTTTTGCAAAACAACAGATGTAATAAGATGACAGATAAATTCAGGTATCGATGTATTTCCTTCTGGGTTCACTGAGAATGACTCCTCCCTCTTTCATTGCTGCCCTGAAAGACTGAACCTGTGAATGAGAGAGATAAATATGAAGCAGGTGACGCCTTAAAGGGGGAAAAGGACACAATTCCAACAGCAGATGTAGCTGGTTGTACTCACAGCATCAGAGCGGTATGTCCAGGGAATCTCCCTGTACACCATCCTGGTGATGCCGGCCTGCTGGCATCGCTGTGCCAGCACCTCGCCCACAGCCTGACACGCTGCCACACAGTTTGTGGAAGGCAGCTCCCTCTTCAGTGCCCACTCTTTGGTCGAACAGGTAAGCACCGGGTTAGGTGAGCTGCTGGAGAACACCTTAGCTGTCACATGGTGCTGGGAGCGAGAAAACTCCAACCTGCAAGGATGAAACAGAAGTGAGAGAGGTCCGAGGAATTCAGATCTGCAGGATTAAAGAAGAAGAGGATCCCCTATAGGATTTTGTCTATAGGGGACTTAGATAAGGTTGTATCTATGCATGCATGATCACAGTTTACTACAGGCTAGGGAAGAGCAACACAACATGTTCATTTAAAAAGAAAAGTGATAGTGATTCACCATTTTAGTGCCCAGGTTTACACAACATCAGCTTTCTAACTAAACAGATTCCCCAAACGCAGATGAATCTGATGGACGTCAAACTGGGAGATTTAACACACTCAGCTACTATGATGCACCCAAATCTGACAGGAGAGAAACTGTTGTTGACACACACACACACACACACACACACACACACACACACACACACACACACAGACAGAGACAGACAGAGACAGACAGACAGACAGACAGACAGACCTGTGGTAGAAATGGCGGTGGGGCCAGGTCGTTTTCCAGCCCCGGTCCTTCACAGCCAGGGCCATCTGCTCCAGGTTCCGGGGGTTTCTGTTCACAAAGGTCGGGTTCACGTCTTCATTTTCATCTGCGCTGGGCTCCGGCTGAGAGGCTCCCTGACTCAGACACCGAGCTAACACAGACAACAGTTTTTAAATAACAATAAAGATAGTGTGTGTGGATATTTGAGTTAAACTAACAATATAATAATAATGATACTAACAATAAATACCCCTGAACTGCTCACACACTATGATACAGAAATAAAGGACTGCACTCAACGTACCTGTCTGGGTGACCGGACGACATCGGTGAATTTGACCTACCAGCCGCCGTACACTGCGAGTGAGTTCACTCAAAGCCATCTCCTCCTCCTCGACTGTGTTCACCTCATCAATCAAAGTCAATGTGCCTGGTAACGCGGTGTGTCCCTAACAACCATGGAAACTGGCTCTTTTACTCTCGTAGAAAAGAAACTACCGCGACATGGGAGGTGATACAACGTTATATACCGTCAGTGCATGGGAACCGCCATCTTTGACATTCGGACAACATCCGGTTCGCCAGGTGCTACTTTAGAAGCGGCACTGACGGAAACACCAGCGAGGACGCAGTTCCGTTTACGTGTGTGCACATTTCTGTCCATACAGTATCTTTCATTGGTAGTAAGTAGATTAAAAGAGTAATTTAGTACAATTCTGAGGTACTTGTACTTCCAGTTTAAACTTTTTTACTCCACACCACAGATATCTGACAGCTACAGTAACTAGTTAGTTAGTTAGTTTGTAGATTAGAATAGTTTTAAAACTTTTGGAGGCATTATTAAAAATGTACCTATATACTTTATGGTAGGGTAGTTAAATAAGTTCCATCTATGTCACCTACATTAAAATGCATTTTACATGTTAATGAATCAATAATAATCAAATAATGTGAACTATATATATCACTTTGCCTAATAGGTATTTTTACTTCTGATATGTACAGTATACAGCAATAATATATTTAATGCTATTTTTACACTTTGGTAATGCTCTTTATACTTAGTAAAATATTTGAATACTTCTTCCATCATTAACATCATAAATTAATCATACATAACACAATAAATGGTTTCCTGTTTAGTGAATGACTTCCCACAATTAGATTAAACAAGGAGATCATATTTAATTTCAGTTCAAATTCAATTCATTTTACAGTGCAAACCGGCAGAAAAACAAACAAACAGATAAATGTCCAGGCCAGAGTTTTGTTTAAAATAGTAGCATGATAATGGATGTTATGATCTGTCCAAAAGACTTAGTGGATAAACAAGCACTCAGTCCCAGTAAGGCACATTACAAAACACTTATTACCAATAAATACCTGTGTTGTGTTTGGAAGACATGACAATGAGGGGGAAAAGTATCTTTGGCTCATGAAGATCATTCAGATAATTCCCTGCCATAATTTGAAGAATCCTACAGGACCAGCTTATTAAAGCACAATACACCAATTCAACAATCATACATTCCCTTAAACTGCAGAACAGATTCATTAATTGATGTGGTTTCCCTTTTTATAATTGATGTCTCTAATATATGTTCATACAGTGAAGAGTAACTGATTACTATTTTTTGAGCTACTTAAAGAGTAATTAGAAAGCAGTACAGGACACAGATAGTGAAAGAAATAGCAAGGGATACAAAAGTATTTTTTTTTTCATTTCATATATAATGCATTTGTAATTCATTATATAGAGACTCATTTTCATTCTGCTGATGCAAAAATAACAGTCGGAACCATCATGATCATTGTGCAAGTGAATTCAACCATTTCATAGCCTAAAGACATTATAATACCATGGTTAGGACAGGGAAACAAAGTCATTCCGACGTGTGTAGTTGTAGTCCAAGTACTCAATAATATACATAAGTTAACGTAACCTTTTGGCAATCCTAACTCATCATTTGGCCGATCATATAGCGGCAGATGCGTTGATCAGAGATGAGAAAGAGAAAGGGCTCAGCTTGTAGCCTGTTCCACTGTAGAACTTGTTCTGAAACTCCACCCTGTAAGAGAGACAAGCAAAGTCAACAAGCAAATACAATTTACAGCACATGATCCAATGTTGTCCACCCACTCCATTTCTCTACATCTCTTCACCAACAACCTGTCTGTAGTTTATTCTAAAACTTTTGTTTAAAAATAAAAAATAATAATTTTGGTGATGCTCTTGTATGATACCACTGACATAGACCGTGACATGACAACATTTTAATCCATGTGAGGATGAGAAAATAAATAAATGTGGATCTTCATGGTTTCTAAATGGTTGGTTTGGCAACCTCTGAGTCCTTTCTGTAGCACCTCCACAAAGCAAAATTAATCCATTAATACATAAGAAATATCAAAATGTAATGTCCATGAAATGTGCTGGGCACTTTCATCCTACCTAAAGGAGGAACCTTCCCTGTCAGTAACCTTTATAAAACTAACTTTTTGTCATATTCACTATATCCTGACAGTAGTACATGAGGCAGATAATCAGTGTAAAACAGTACAGTTCCTGTAGCTTCTCCTAGTGCTCCTAATGGCAAGAGTCCACCGGGCCTGAGTGAAAACAACCAATCAGAGCCGACAAAGATGGTTGATGGTTGAGTTTCATTCCCAGGTTGTCAAATACCTGTTGCTTTGGCTCCCAAACCTTTAAACCAAAAGGTCAACTTTACATGCAAGATGGAAAACTCAATAAAAATAAGTAAACTGCCATGACTGCACATTGATCACCCCTGTCACATTGGTCAGGTGACTAGGTGAATGGACAACAGAGTGCAATGTGTGCAACTGTATAACTTTGATAAGTGAAACCCAGGACTCCTCATGTATAAGGAAGGTCTGTTAACATTTAGTTCAAGCCTAAATTACAAACTACTGTATGATGAAAAACAACAACAGTGCAGAGCTTCATGTGAAGCAGAAAGTCTAAGATCTCTCTGTGTACACAGTTATGTTGAATAGTGCCATTAGTTATAGAAACTGGCAGGCTAAGAGTTTATGTGATTTAGGTGAGACTGAAGATGAAGTGCAGTTCATATTTTATTGTTCATTAGACAACAATTTGAGGGCTACACACGGTGCATTTGTTATTATGATAAGTTCTACTGGTTGGATGATCAAAACTTGAGTTGTGTTTTAGGAAAGAAAATTTTCTCTGTGGCTTGTTGGGACAGGAGACAAAGTTCCTTGTTTGCAATGTAATGTTGAAGTTCTGTACTTGTCTGTTCATAATTTCTGTGGGTTTGGTGTCTTAGAAGTTCATAAATAACATAGAATATCTAGCTAACCCTTTTAAACATGGACTCTCAGTGTAGATATCCAGCCTACGTATTTAATCCTGCTTTGTGAGACATGGCCATGGACGTTTAGAGGCAACCAAGACCATCGGCATAAACCTTTAAAATTAAGCAATCCAGTATTTTATAACACCTTCTTCTCCTTCCTCCCATCCTTACCAGTGCAGACGGAGTGCGTGCAGGAAAGCGGAGAGTCCCTCCATAACCAGCAAGATGGAGATGGTCAACACACCGAAGAAGGCGAAAACCACAAAGAGGACTGCAGATCCCACATAGCCCTGCCACCTCAGGGCAATACGCATCACCATCACCCACAACACCTCTGACAGCTCTGCGGGAGACAGACATAACTCACTGTGAGACAGCCACGTGTGTATGAATAACTGGCTGAAAAAAGAATAGTGTGTTTTAGAGAGGAAGTCTGTGTGTGTGTGTGTGTGTGTGTGTGTGTGTGTGTGTGTATCATGTGAGTATGATGGTGTGTGTGTGTGTGTGTGTGTGTGTGTGTGTGTGTGTGTGTCACTAACGTGCGTGTGCCAGACTGAGAGCCCAGAGTCGGAGGTAAGAAGCAGTGTTGGAGATGCAGCCCAGGCAGTACTCTATGGTGTGGATGGCTTGATGCATGAACACGTCGGCCGCATCAAACTCCTGCAAACAGAACAGTTTAAAACACAAGAGTCACAACATCACGTGCATCTCTTACCAGATTTAATATGTTTAGGAAGTTACTCAGGCTTCTCCCTTACCTCCTCTTCAACTGTTCCTCCCTCCACCTCCCCCTGACGAGTGTTGATAGAGCCTCCGTCAGCCACCAGCGGACGTCTGTCTTCCTCCTGATGAACAAAAAATCATGTCAGAAAATACATCCAACTCTAAAGAAAGGGTTAAAGTTCCAGTCGAACACAGACTCACCACTTGACGTCGTCTTTTCTTGAATGAGACGTATTCACACATGGGTTTCCCTAGCAGGAGGACCGGGACAGAACACAGGGCCAGCACCACCAGGACCTTCTGCACCACAATCTACACATGGAGAGTTACAGGAGCAGCTGTTAAGCCTTTGAGCAACACATGCTCACTTTAGCAAGCTATAACACTGGTGTTTTGTGCAAATTATTGTCCATTAATTATAAACAGTGCATGCTTTTCACTTCTGCAAACCATTTTCCAAAGCATACCATGGGGTTTTTTTTTAGGTTTAAGGACTTTTATTTTCTACCTTCCAGATGTTCATTGGTTTCAGTTCATATCTGTAAAGTATGAAAATGAGCTTGCAGAGACATGAAACATTGATATTATTCCTCACAGTGAAGCATTTCATTGTCCTTTCGTCTTGTTACATTATTGTCGTTTAAAAAAAAAAAAAAGAGCAAGAATTAATCGATTTGTTGTTTGATCCATAAAATATCAGAAAATGGTGAAAAATAATGATCACTGATTCCCAAAGTGACGTCCTCAAATGTTCAGTTTACTGTTAAGAGGACTAAAGAAACCAGAAAATATTCATATTTGAGAAGCTGAAATCCGAGAATTAATCAAATATAAAAAAGGTTGCCAATTAATTTAAAAATTGACAACAAATAGATGAATCGATCTCTGTTGTTAATGCAGTTAAAGCATTGATTTTTTAAAGAAGTCTATTGGTGTGATCACGTGTTTATAGACATTCTATTCGACATCTGAGGTTTGAGAGTAAACTGCCAAACAATGTATGGTAACTTAACAATTTTGGATAATTTTCCAACATATCCTGGAAAAATTAAATAACCTTGACAAAAGACAATACAGACTAAATGTTCACTGTGATGGGTTCCATGTCTCAAGCAGGTTTCATGCATCTTCAAGGTGAGTCTTCCAGGAATGTAGGAAAATGCATTCTTCAATATAAAACCTATGGCATGCTTTAAAAATGGCTGGTGGCTATGTCATGCATAAGCAACCACACACACACACACACACACACACACACACACACACACACACACACACACACACACACACACACACACACACACACACACACACACACACACACACACACACACACACACACACACACACACACACACACACACACACACACACACACACACACACACACACACACACACACACACACACACACACACCACACACACACACACACACACACACACACACACACACACACACACACACACACACACCTGTCCTGTATAGAGAGGTGGATTCTCTGGGTTGTCTGTGAAGAGGAACATGTCTATGAAGTGGATAAGTATACTGGGAGCGATTTTGGACTGGGCAGGAGTGTAGGCGATCCACTTGAAGACCACCATGAACACCAGATATCCAAACAGACACACCATGAAGAACAGTTCAGGGATCAGCACAAAGAACACACTGCTAATCTTGCCAAAGTGCCTGGAGGGAACACAGCAACAACAAGGGAAAGCAGGAGTGAGGAAATGTGAAGGCAAGTCAGAATAAATATAAAAAGAAAAAAAATTGACCCAAAACATCAAGTAATAGTAGTAATTACTTACCAGTAGTTGAAGAATGACAAGCAGACTCCAAAAGTCATGTGAATGACACCGATGACGACTGACATCTTCATCTTGTACGAGTTAAGGAAAGTTAGTTTGTTGTTGGACAGCCCCCAAATCTGACAAAGACACAAAACAAGAAAGAATTAGGATGGATGCAGCGACAAACAAGATGACAGCATGAAAGAAAATGGAGTCATGAAGGAGGAGGAGTGTGACAGCCATACCGGGTCAATGCCAAATGGATAGGGGCTGGTGAAAACACCAGACACAACAGGATCCATGGATAAGTACTGGTTCTCTGCCAGGACGGATGAACTGGAAGAAATAAAATATGAATAGGTAAGATGGACAATAAAAACAGAGTGAGAAGACTGGACTTGAGGGTATAAAAACATCCTCACTTCCATATGTTCTTCTCAAACATCGGGCCGACGTGCCACGATGAGCTGAAGGTAGTGAGGCCTCTGCTGAAGCACTCGTTGTAAATGGCGCCCGTGTAGATAGAGAACAGTCCCATCAGCAGAATCAGATACCTTCCTCCAAACATCATCCTCCAGATCTGGAACACACAGACGGATGCTCTTTTGTTTTAGAGTTTACATCTTACTTAAGAAAACATTTCCTTATGTTGAGCGCGCGCAGTGTGTGTGTGTGTGTGTGTGTGTGTGAGCAAATGTCCTCTGAATTACCTCGTTGTTGTTGTTCTTAAGTTTGGGGTCCTTTTCCTCAAGGACCATCCAGAGGGCACCGAGAGTCATCAGTAAACCGTGACCAACATCCCCAAACATCACAGCAAACAGGAAGGGGAATGTAATTATGGTGTACACCGCTGCAGAGGCATTGAGAGGAAAGACTCAACTTTTAAAAACTGCTGTGGCTTCTGGCAGAATAAACTTTTTAGAGCCCAACTAGACATTGGCTTATTGCAGACATATTGATATCGACATATATGTCATCCAATATGCGTAGTTTTTTTCCAGTATATAATGCAAAAAAGTGTTTTTACAGTATTTATGTTAAGCTTTTTGTTTTATTTATTATTTATTTTCTCAGTGTTTGTGTTTTCTCATTTCTGGAATTGGTTGATAATGTAGCCTGTATGTAAAATGTAATAAAGACAGCAGCCTTATGCAGTATATCTTCAGTCTATTTTCATTCCAGCTCAAAATCAGCCATAATATCTTGTAATTTGGTGAATTTCTCCCCTCTAAAATCAGTATCGGTCTCAAAAAAACAATATTGGTTTGGCTCTTATGCTGCTGTACCTGGATTGACTTCACGGTAGGAGGCCACTCCGTAAGCATCGACAATGTTTTGGAAACCAGCTGTGAAAGAGTTGACGGGAAACAGGGTGGGGGGAGGTGTGGAGGAGGGCAGGCGGTTGTAGAAAGAGTCGACCCCACTGCCGCTCTTCCGCTGAGGACAGAGAAGAGGGTTGGATAAGAATGAGGAGTGTGAGAAACAAGGCAGATTTGCACATCTCCAACTTTTCCATGTTTTTCTCTACTGTCTCACCCCTCCTTCTCTCAGAGCACTTTGCAGCTCAGGCAGCTTGGCAGTGGGACACCAGGCCTCAGCGATCAGGCATTTGTCGGTGACGGAGGGGCTGCAGAGATTCAGCACCATCTGCACCGCCTTACACTTCTGTACCCGCACCTTCCACTGGGGCAGCACAGCCACAGCCCGCATCAGCAGCTGCTGCAGGAAGGACTCGGTCTGTGACAAGACCTGGAGAAGAAGGAAGTGAGAGTGAGTGCATAAGCAACATGTTTCGAAAGTACTAAGCATACAAAAAAAAGAAAGAAGAAAACCCACATTACTTCTATTTTTGTGCTTTCTAGTATTTTTAGTTGTGATATAGAAATGACAAAAGAGAGCGTAAATCCTGGTGATTGCATCATTGTTCACTGTTTTTATCATTATGCGCTACACTTACTGATTTAATGTCTTCAATTCTGCCTTGAAGTCCCTGGAGAATCTCCTCTCTCTCTGCAGTGCTCTCAGGGTATGCAAATGTCTGTGTGCGGAAACTGTGAGGAAAGGGGAAAACAAAAAGATATTCAACAGCTTCAACGGACACTGCAGTGTGGAAATCTGAACTGATCCACGGGTATATACCCACCAATCACATATCTTCTTGACTTTCTGTCCGATCTGATCTCCCCAGTAGGAAATGAGGAACACTGTCCATTGCACCATTTCCCCCTGCAAACAAAGAATCCACTTTGACAAAATATCCACAAATCCCTCATTAGATGTTACATAATCATCAGAGACTTTCCCTGAAACAGAAATAACTTTCACATCTATCTCTCAACCATGATCCTCCCCTTCTCCCAGTTCCCACCGTGTCCGGGTGCTCAAGTCGATCCCCCATTTCTCTGAAATCCACAATAATATAACCGCGACATGCCCGCCATAACAACCGTTCAAATGATGGGACCTTCCAAGGATGGACCACCCCTGCCACAAAACTGAGAGAGAGGAGATGCAGTGGGAGACGTGTTAAATGTAGATTAAAAACTCATACTGGCAACCCTCTTGTTCCCAAGCCAGACTGAGCGAATTGTGCCCCTTTTTAGTAAATCAGAGCTACCTGAGGTGGACATCTTGGCGGTTATCAAACAGGCCCTGGCTTTCCAGTACAGGCGGTGGTGGTGCCTGTGAGAAGAATTTGTTTGTAGATTTAGTTTACAGACATTTGTTTGCTCACTCCAGCACCGTAATTTAAGGAAAAGTTCATAAATGATGCCAGAATTGTTGCAGAAATGTAGTGTTTTTTTTCCACCTGCGAGGCTGTGAGAGAGTGTGTCCTGGTCAAGACTCCTCGGTACTGACAGAGCTGGGTCAGCTGAGCCCGGAGGCTGTCTCTGTTTCTTGAGACCTAAGTTAGTTAAAAAAAAAAAAAAAAAAAAACACACAAAAAAAATGTCTCTCAAGCCAAAAAGTTCAACCTCTTTTAGTGCGCTAATGAGACAACAGAGGCTCGTCTATAATTTATCATGTCAGCATCGTTTAAGCGCTCACCTCTTTGAGCTCTCTGGCCAGCCTCTCACATTCCTCCTCTATGGTGATGAGTTCACGGGGCTGAGGGGCCAAAGGTGTCGGGCACGGAGGAGATAGGGGACCCTGCAAGGGTGGAGACAGGGAGCGATTGATCTCCTGCTCCAGGAAGGCTGAAAGGGCAGATAAAGGAGGTCAGAGCAGGCAGGAAAAAAATAAATAAAATAAAGAACGTGGACGAAAATGTTTGTTGGGAATAATGAGTCAGTACTTACTAAATGTTTTCTCAAGTTCCTCGCATCGTCTGACCTCACCGACAAACTTCCTCTGGAAGGCGTTCACATTGGGATTTAACTAAAACATGAGGAGAATGGAGACAGGGTTACTCATCTGATCACTATGAGGAGGAACATGTTGCTGTGACTCAGTGACTCAAAGCAGCCATCAGTTCACCATCTGACCCTAAACTCAGATTCAGCTGTAAATAGATCAATTACTGTGCATTACAGAGAATTAGAACAATGATCGGTTTGTGATATGAGCCAAAACACACAAAAAAACATGGGGAAGAATTTAAGGCATAAATGTGGTCAGACCAATTGCACATTCTGGCCCAAACAGTAGCTAACTAGTAGAGCGTTTCACCACAATATCACAATCCAAAAGTTACTCACGTCTCTAAACTCAACGAGGCCCAACTCTCCCAGCTCACTGACACAGTTGTAGGCCGAGCCGGACTGAAGGAAGAGCTGCACCAGGCACACTTCCTCACTGCGAAACATGGAGCCCATAGTTGCCTGCACGACAAAGTACTGTCGTTTATAGTTGAATGAGAGGAGGAGGAGGAGGAGGGTGGAAGTTAGGACAATAAAAGCCTCTCAGTGACAATAGAGAAGCTTATGAGTGGAAACTGAAAAAAAAAGGGGAAGCATCAGCTCCTCCTGATCATCACAGGATCAGGTGGGATTTCCATTCTTACAGAGGCATCTTTCTGTCCATTTTGCAAGAGTTTGTTCATTTGTTAATAAAAAAACACTATGATACACTAAAAAAAACAAATATACAGTCAGTTACCAGTTGAAAGAGTAAAACTAAGGCACTGCAATAAACTCATCTCATACTGTTCTGGAGAAGTGTGGATTGAAATGTTGTGTCTATTTTGAAGGCTGCAGTTTGCAGTGGAGCTGTACGGTGTTATATTTAGACTAACTTCATTGATATAAAAGAGGTGGAGGAAATACCACAAAAAGCACCAAAAACTACAGCCTCCAAAATGACCAAACACTTTTTTTTTTTTAACCAACAAAACAACTGAACATTGTTTAGTGTATGTATTACAAGTGAATGCATCAAGTTGTAGGGACTGTTACTTAAATAAACTTTAAAGGGAATCAATACAGTTATTTCTAAGGTAACTTTGGCATTTCCTTTAACAAACAATAACCCTCCTGTTTCACCTCTATCATGTCTGGCTCTGTCCATACATTTCTTTTTCTTTTTTCCTGTAAAGTTTCGTTTTTAGTCACACGCCATGACAATGAAACGAGGCTTAACGATTAGAGATCGAACAAAGGATGTTAAAAAAAAAAAAAAACATTAAGTGAAACATGATCGATTAGGGTAATACCACGAGGAGAAAAGACAAGTTGCTCACGGATTTGATTCAGCGTTAAATCGTTAACAATAGCGGTGCACACACGGTGGATAGAGACAGAAAACAGCCTCATGTGAGCACAAAATGAGGCGGAAATATTACATGTCTCACCTGTCTGCCTCCTAAAATCCGTCGGACTCCAACCCCGCTGTCTTTCAGGCTGTCCAGGCACCGTACCGACCGACAGACAGGTGACTGTCTGTGACACAACAGACGTGTTTATGAGAACTTCTCGGTACTGGTTCACACTTCCCGTTCGGCAAAGTCACGTTACTGCGGCCTCACGTGACAGTTGACGTTCGTCTCTCATTTGGCCACGAGAGGGCCCCGAGATTTTAACGTTACTTAAATGGCGGTAAAAGACGGTAAACGTTAGTTGTTGTTTGTGTTTTTTTCGGACCAGTCGATGGTCTAACGTCTAACGTTAGCTAGATGATTATTATTATTATTATTATTATTATTTAATAACAAACGCTTAGTTAATAGATGTCATGTGTGGCGCTGTTGGTTTTGCTAAACACTAGTTGCTAAGCGACGCCATAATTAAATGAGTGGCATGACTCTCATTTAACTGTCCGAAACCTTTCCGCCGTTCAGAAACAAAAACAACAAAGAAGAGCAGTGAATTCAGATTTTGTACTTTCAAGAGCAGCGACATCCGAAAAGTTTCAGAAGTAAGAAAATAATGCATTTTGTGGTATTTCCTGGGTTTAATTCTATGCAATTAAATATCTCCATACTTATTTTTAAACTTATAAAAACATAGCCTGCTTGGGATATGTTGTGTTCAGTTACCATATGGAAGATTAATACAATTACATCTACTTCAAAAATTCAAAATGCATTCCTCACTGTATATTTCTGCATTTCCACATCCAATTAATCCAATTAATTAATGGCATACTGTACCACGAATGCAGTTGTGACTTCTACACATCTGTATCAGCTGAACGTAAAAGGTCTTCTAGTATCAAATTGCACATATACATCAATTTGTAATAGAGCTCACACATAAAAGTAACAAAAGCAAAGCACAAATTTTAGTGCACCAAGGGAGACTCCTACATAAGCATACTATTTAGTTTGAATTGGATCACATGGCCTCTGTGGGTTTACTGAGCACTGTGTGTGTGTGTGTGTGTGTGTGTGTGTGTGTGTGTGATCATTTTAATTCCAGCAGAGGACCAAACAGCCCCTCTCTCAGTCTTGATCTGACAAACAGATGAATGGCCATACAAAAGATATTTCATTTTATTGTAAAAGGGCTGCGTGGCAACAGGTAAAATAGCATGTAATGAGAAATATACAATTGGAAAAAGACAAAAGTTTAAACGGAACAAATGAAACAGGAAATGAAATTGAAGGGAGGTCAAAGAAGACTAAAAATTTTCACAGAGGAACATGAATCTCACACACCTGTTTATTATCTGCTTAACTGTACTGCACATCACTACAGGTGTATTTTATTCTTAACCCTAAAGATACTTGATGAAGCTGGTCTACATTAAGAATTAAAGCAGATTGTGGTCACACCAATTATAGCTCCCAACAGTGTACTACAACACGTTGGAGTTGTATTACAAGCAACTTTAGATCCCCCACACACACACAAAAAAAAAAACAAAGCCTACAGTAAAATCATATTTGCTGGTAAATCACCATCTTCTGTATCTCATTTCACATCATTTACACTTCAGACTTACAATGCCAACAGACATGTTATCCTAAACATGATGCTGTGGTTCTTACAGCCGACAATTGTATGGGATCTCCTGGACATGAGGACAAACACTAATGAAGCAAAGTTAGCGGTGATTTTTTTTCTCTCTTCTTTTCCTACAAAATGTAAGTCTATGCCAAGTCAGTGTCCAGGATAGTGACTGCTCAGACATAGAGACCATTCTATACTCCTCTCAGTTGTCCTCCTCCCTTCAGCCTGAAGTTTATTCCTTTTCTACAAACTGTAAAACTTTAGACTTCTGTCCATTCCTGCAGAGGTCAGGAACTGCGCGTTCTCTCCAAAGGCCACTCCAGTCACCAATCCTGTATGGTCTACACATAGAGAGTAGAAACAAAAAGGTCAATGCTCCAATGTGACATACATACAGGACGAACATTTCACAAGAGATTGGCATTTCCTCCTCCTCACCTGTGAAGTTAAGGACCTCAGACCACTGCTTGCAGATGTAGACACGGATATCAGATCCTCCTACAGCGAGGTAGGTACCGCTCTGGTCAAACACGAGGGACTTCACCTGAAAACAGAAAAAACAAAAAGGAATGAGATTCAGAAGCACAGAGGAATGAGAGGTTGGAGAACAGAGGAAGGAGAGGTTGGAGAACAGAGGAAGGAGAGGTTGGAGAACAGGAAGGAGGTTGGGGGAGGTTGGAGAACAGAGGAATGAGGTTGGAGAACAGAGGAATGAGAGGTTGGAGAAGAGGAGAATGAGGTTGGAGAACAGAGGATGAGGTTGGAGAACAGAGGAATAGAGGTTTGGAGGAGAGGAAGGAGAGGTTGGAGAACAGAGGAATGAGGTTGGGAAAGAGGATGAGAGGTTGGAGAACAGAGGAAGGAGAGGTTGGAGAACAGGAAGGAGAGGTTGGAGAACAGAGGAATGAGGTTGGAGAACAGAGGAAGGAGAGGTTGGAGAACAGAGGAAGGAGAGGTTTGGAGAACAGGAAGGAGAGGTTGGAGAACAGAGGAATGAGGTTGGAGAACAGAGGAAGGAGAGGTTTGGAGAACAGAGGAAGGAGAGGTTGGAGAACAGAGGAAGGAGGTGGAAAAAAAGAAAGGGAGGTGAAAGGAATGAGGTTGGAGAACAGAGGAATGAGAGGTTTGGAGAAGAGAGGAAGGAGAGGTTGGAGAACAGAGGAATGAGGTTGGAGAACAGAGGAATGAGAGGTTTAGAGAACAGAGGGGGGTTGGAGAACAGAGGAAGGAGAGGTTTGGAGAACGGAGGAAGGAGAGGTTTGGAGAACAGGGGGAGAGGTTTGGAGAACGGAGGAAGGAGAGGTTGGAGAACGGAGGAAGAGGGGGTGAACGGGGAGAGGTTGGAGAACAGAGGAAGGAGAGGTTGGAGAACGGAGGAAGGAGAGGTTGGAGAACAGAGGAATGAGAGGTTGGAGAACAGAGGAATGGCAGCAAGGACAAGAGAAAAGATCACAGCCAATGTGCTCAATAACATCTTCGTATCAACTGAGAGACTCTTAAGTCTTCTTAATGACATGAAATGTGTTTATTTGCTTTGTTGTGAGAGTCAGAAGCGAAGATTAATACTTTCATGTCTGTATGATAAATGTGATACTAGAGCCTTAACATGGTTAGCTTAGCTTAGCATTAAGACAGGAAGAAGTGGTAAAACAGCTAGCCTGGTTCTCTCCAAAGTTAAAACAATCCACCTACCAGCACCTTTAGATTTGACTAATAATTACATTTTATCTGGTTCGTTTCACACAAGGTGACGTCAAGACATCATGATGCCACAGCGCCCAGCCAAGAAATAGCTTCTATCTCTCTGCTAAGATAACTTAAACTGCCTGCAGCTTCTTTCTTCACAGACAGACATGAGCACAGTAGCAACTTGACGCTAAGCAAACAAACCTCCAAAAAACTTTTAACTATTTCTTCATATGAGAAATACCTGCATTTATTTACCTCATAGTTGTTGTCCAGGGTGATGGTCTTGAAGTTCTTCAGTTTCCTCAAATCCCACAGTTTCAGAGAGCTATCCTGGGCACCTGGAGCGCAGCACAAGGATGTTACACAATTAAATATAGTTTCCAAAAATGGAGGACTTTAGATGTTTAGTTGGTCAGTGTACATCTTAATATGATTTGTATTTTTCTGCAACATTTCCACCTGATGTAATTCACTTTGCACTGCAAACATTGGCAGCAACAGTGTGAAGCTGCTGTTAGTAGCTCTAACCTGTGGCCAGATAGTATCCGTTCTCAGAGAAAGCAATGGAGGTGACGGGACCAGAGTGGCCTGGGAAGTTGGCCACGTTGGTGCGCTCCTTCAGATCCCAGATCTTGATTTGGGAATCAGCCGTCCCGGTGCCAAAAATAAGACCATCAGGGTGGAACTGAGCACAGGTGAGAGCTGTAGGGACAGACAGAAACATTAACCACCGGGAGCAGGGAGACACTTATTGAGATTGCCACACAAGTTAACATAGAGACACTTACCGCAGCCAGCACTTTCATCAGTGACTTTGGTGAGGACTCTACCAGTCTGGATATCAGAAAAGGCCCAGTACTGCAGGACAGTAAGGAAATAAAATGGTAAAAGGTCAGTGTGGTGAAGCAATTAACCTGTGAAGAGATCACTTTTACTTCAGTGTTAAATACAGCATAAAGTCAGTCAGTATTTTTATCAAGCAAACACACACCTGATCCTCAGAGGAGCTGAGCAGGTAGTCCCCAGTAGCATGTAGGGAGAGTCCAGTGACACCTCCCTCGTGGGCACGCACCACCTGGACACAGTTGCCCCCGGCGACGGACCACACACGGATGGTGTTGTCTGGAGATGCAGAGAAGACCACAGACTGGAGGGGAAAAGACAGAAAGGGATGAAAAATGAGTAAAAATATCAGATCCTACTTAGCAGGTCTCTGAATAATTCAAACAGAGAGCAGTGCAGTCACAGGATTGGTTTTTTGAAATAAAGATTTGACTATTTTTTGTCAGCGACAAAGAAAACATTACCTGGGATGGATGGTAAATGACAGAGGTGACCTTCTTGGTGTGACCCTTAAGCGTCGCCACAATCTGCTCCTCGTTCTTGTCAAACACCACCACGTTCTTATCAGCTCCACCTGGGGAACACAAGAGAGAGGATATCAAATAAAAAGCCTTCAAAATGGCTTGTAATGTGTAAACAAATGACAAAAAGATGCAGCTGAGCACTGGAAGAAATCAATGTACCGGTAAGAACTTTGTTGGTGTCTGAGGGACACAGATCCAGAGCCAGAATACCAGGGACACTAGCACTATGAAGACCCTGAAGACAACAAGGAGCACATGTTAACATCAACTCAATCAAAGCACTGTTTCAGCCTTCTGATTAAAGGGGTAAGAAAATGTAATTTATACTCCAACAGACACTAATCTATACTTACAGCATGCGAGGCCACCTGGCGGTATTTGCTGAGATCCTCAGCTCTAACCAGCTCCTCTGGGACAGTTTTTCCTCTCTGGAGAAATACAGATAAGCAGTTAAAGGGTGTATGACGGTATATGACATAGTAACACAACTGTTATAGAAGAACAAGTGTCACACATTGAGATATTACAGCAGAAATTAGTTAATAAAAGAGCCATATAATACCTTCTTTCTTTCTGTAGTGAGGATGGTAGCTTTGTCTTGGAGCTGAAAACAGAGAAAAAGCATATTGAAACAATCTTAAGACTTGCTAAAGAAAATGGAAAGCTTATAGCCCAATAATGACGTATGTAGGTAAATAAGTAATCTTACCTTCTGGATGATCTCTGGGGTCATTCCCACCTGTTCACTGATCTCCATAGGCTCTCCACCAGCACCCTGAGATACAGACAGCAGAATAAGAGGTTATTAGGAGAGGTACAGCAAAAGAATACCATAAGCATTTCTCAGTATCTTATTAACTGGAATAAAAAGTTGATTACTCACTGCTGCAGCCGGCTGAGAGGCGGGAACTGCCTGAGGGGCAACCAATCCAGCTTGGGGTTTGAGTGTGGCCAGAGCTGTAAAGAGGAAATGGACCCCATAAGAAAAGAATGCTCTCATAATATTGTCTATAAAACCATGTGGGTGTAGAGTGGAGCAGAATCTGGAGAGTGTTGATGTGCTTTACAACTGGATGTACGCCCTGCAACAGAGGACACACAAACTGCTGCCAACCAACCTTCTCTCGCAGCGGTGACCTCTTTGGTGAGTCGAGCGATGACTCTGCAGGCGGCATCGTGTTGGTAGAGGGCGTGAGAGAGTTCTTGGCGAGTAGTCTGTAGCTGCTGCCGCAGGGTGAAGCTATGAAGCATAACAGCATCCTAGTGCGGAGAAGAGACAACAGGGTTAAGGAACATCTCATATAAACTTCAGAATAATCAACTTGGTACATAATTCCTGAAGATATTTTAATATTTTGGTGCATTTTATGTCTCTTTCAGTCAAGTTGCACGGTGCTCTACTAAAGCACAAAGTAATTTAAAAGATTAGTATATTCCCCAACTAAGGTTGACTAGTGTGCAGAATACTTCCTTCAAAGCAAAAAAATAAATTAAAAAAACCACCAAAACCGAAATTCTGGGTGATATTATCAGCGTGATGAAGGTGTTTTGTTGTGGATTTCTCCTCGTTGGTTAACTACACTTACCCATTCATCTTGAAGGGACTTGAGAATGGCGGGGATGCTTGTTGCTGATGGTGCCTTTGGTCTAATAGGATGGGACACTAAAAAAAGAGAAAAAGTTTTAACAATCTTGATAGTCAAATAATCATTTTTAAAGCAAATAATGGCAAACATTCTGTAATTACAGCTTCTTGCTGCTTTTCATTGTCTTATGTCACAGCAAACTGAATATTTGGGGGTTTATTCTCCTGGTTGGATTAAACAACCATCATGAAATCATTTTTTAGGCCTTTCAGATACTCTGACGGCCACATGTTATAAACCCAATGATTTATTAAAGAACATAAAATCAATAAATAATTTAACACCACATCAAACTTCACCCTGCAGACGTGAACACAAAAGATGAATGAACCTTTTTACTTTAAACGAAACTGGACATTATGACCTCCACGAGGATTCATTAAAAACTTACGTTACTTTTTACACATTGTTAACGAGGTGTATCCAGTAGTTGAGTGCAGATCTCCAGCTGCTCCCAGTCCCTCACATCTATCCCCAACTAGAAATATCACGCAGAAGTAGTTTACCTTTGATATCTACGAGCTGTTCCTCGGACAAGGGTTGTCCGTTCATCGGGTCCGTCCCATTCTCCGCGATGTATTTCTCAATCAGCCTGCGTTCAAACACCTGGTTGGACACCGGGGACACACACGGGTGCTCCGGGACCTCGTTGGAGACTAGAAAACAACGCAAACACAGCTTTAAAAAAAAAAAAACACACAACACGAACAACAAACGCGAACTATCCGTGAGGTAGCGGGCGGCATTGCGTGGCCGCTAACGTTAGCTTAAATGAGCTAGTAGCGTTAGCGCGCTGCCTCCGTCGTATGAATGAATTCAACTTTAACTTACTTGCACAAACCAAAGCCATCTTCCCGACGCAGTCCGTGTACTCTCTTCTGGAGGTTGAATTACGCTCGTCCTGTATTTAGATGGTTATTACCGCTAATGTACTGACTTTGCTTATGTTTTACTCGATTTGTAAGTAACACGCTGTCTTTTCATTGCCGCTACAAACGGGGTTCTTCTTCTACGCTTTCTTTCCGTCTGTGAGCGTCCGAGGCTCACAGGTCCTCCACTGCCCTCCACCGGCGGGACAAACATACTGCTCTGATCAATACACCAATAACTGGTGCAGAAATGATGGGTCGATAGATAGAAAATTAATTGTCAACAATTTTTTACGTTGATCAAGCACATTTCTTAATGTACAGCTTTTTAAGATGTGAATAGTTTCTTTGGATTAAAATCTGTTGAATTGTTTAGGTTTTGGATTATTATTATTATTAATAATAATAATAATAATAATAATACATTTAATTTATAGAGCGCTTTTCAAGAAACTGAAAGGCACTTTACATAAGTTAAAAGGAAAAGAAAAAGGTAATAAAAAAACAACACACTAAGAAATTATAGCTTTATCTACAACACTCAACAATGAATTATTCATTAAAAGCACTTCTGAAAAGGGGGTTTTGAGCAGTGATTTGACAGGAGGTTGGCTTCAGAAGAGCAAAGGCTTCGGGAAGGAGTGTGGCGATGGACCAGGTCTGCAAGGTGGGAGGGGGCCTGGAACGATTGTCGTTTTATATACAAATTATTCATTAAAAAAAACCTTCCACACATGAATCAGTAAATGGAAATAATGCTTTGTGACGGCCAAACATACAGTATATTGGAGAAAAACCATCTCATATGTGTGTGTTAAAGATATATTTTATTGTTTGGTAGATGACATTTTCATAGTCCAAAAATATCACAAGCAGCAGTCAAACTATTTTGTCACTAGAGTGATTTGGTAGAACAATATTATCCTGTACACAGATTAATAGGATACTGGTGGAACACGTTACTTTTTACATAATTATTACTACAATTACCTCAAGGGCAAATACACTATATCATTGCAAAAATCAATGACCTGCAGTACAGACATTTAACATAATAATTAAATGTTGTTGCAGCCAGGAATGGTTAACATTATGGATAGAGAAAAACACACCAACTAACTCTCTATTACTGTACAGTACTTAGGAATTCCCTTTTGCAAACTTTTGTATCACAACTCTAATTTCTAGTAGCCCTAGAGATCACACTACTCTCACAAACATACATGTACCATCACTTAGAAAAATCCAGTGCAGCTCATATTGGTCCTGAGGGTCTGGAGGTAGGTAACAGCAGGAGATTTCAGGAGCATCATCAACGGTGTCGAGAAATATATTATGAGATAGGAAGGCTGATGCTCAAACTCATGCTTCAGATAAAATTACATGACAAAAGTGACATGCAATATTGATACTGAACCAGTAAAACTAAGATAAGATGCAAAAGGCACAGGTGAGGTTTATCTTTTTCCGTAACAGCTTCACTCCATTTGAAAATCTTAAACTGTAGTTTCTCGGTGCCTTACGTTTCTTCTTCCTTCATTTCAGCTCCAATTCTGTGTTTGATTAGAAGTTCAGTTTTTCCGAAGTGTAAACACTGCTGGATTCAGAGGTGTCCATATCTAGTGGCAGTGTGGAAAAGTACTCCTGTGTTCTGCTCCAGCTTTCTTTGTTCCCAGCTTTCTTAATCTGGAATTGGACACAGTCCTCAGAGGAGTGGAGGCAGTCTGAAGCCCCAGGCACTGGAAAGGAAATGCTTTTCTCTTCCTCATTAGATGTGTCCTGCTAGGAAGGAATTAAGACATATGTTTAAAAGATATTTCACTCTGTTAACGGAAAAATACTCACAGTTTGAGTGTAGTATTACCTCAGTAGTTGAATTATGAATTGGGGAGCTCTCAGCTGCCAATCGGTGTCCTTCCTGGTTCTGAGCTCTTGGAGTTCCTACCATTACCGGACTGTAACCCTGGAAATAGAAGCAGCAGCACACAAGCACATATGGTTCATGCACACAGACACAATTTACACTAATTTAATTCAGTTAATCGGCCTTACAGAGTGAGTAGGACTGGCTCTTGGAGTCCATTTTCTTGGTGTTCCATGCTGCTGAGAGTGACTGTAGAAGCCTGAGGGCTGAGTGCTGGGTTGGCTGTAGTCCTGCACAGACAAACACACACAGACACATAAAACTCAGCACAGCCACTTGGTTTGGTAACACAGCTGTAGAGACTACAAGGGGCAAAAAACAATACACATTTCTTTATTTTTTAACGGATTTGAGTCAAACATGCTTTGGGGTTTTTTTTAGGTTTTTTAGGTACCTGAAATGTGCAACCATATCACATCATATGACGTACAGATGGGTGTTCGACTGAGAAAAAAAGAACAGAAACTAGACACCATGAAACACAAGAACCACTTTAATGCTCCTTGTCATAGATTCTCCAAGTGTTTCCTCATTTGGTGTTTTGATGATGGTGGAGAGTGTCTAACACTGTCCACAATCTCTCATAGATTCTCACGCCCTTCCTCTCCCCGCACACTCTCTATGGAAGCATCTACATTTGCTATGTTTATGATTACAGTATAAAAACGCTGTCACATGGATTAAATCACATATGCAAAAGCCAAAGAGGTTGTCCTGTAATGGTCCTTTCAATGTCATATGGGTACTTATGTTCCATACTCTCTCTAACTACTCACATGGCATACATTGTCTAATAACCAAAACGAGGCAAGACCAGATTTATTTTTAAAACATGACAAGAAGCTAAAACCTTAGACCTTATGTATTAAAGGACCAGTGTGTAGGGTTTAGTGCCATCTAGCGGTGTAGTTGTTGACTGCAACTCCTTTGCTTCACCCTCCCTTTCCAAGCCTGAAGGAGAAACTATGGTGGCTGTTCTGGGCTACTGCAGAAACATGGTGGTAACAAAGACATAGCAATTCTTATTTTCAGATGATTATACACTAATGGAAACATACATGTGAATATTATATTCCATTTCTGACAATAGATCCTCCTAAATGTTGCAGAGTGGACCTTTAATTCTCCTGCCTGCACAACTACCTCCACCGATAGGTCCACCAACCGGATTCTCCTGATTGTCTCACCTGGATGTTGACCCTCGGAGGGTTGGCTGGCGGCGCGCGGTTTCCTCTGAGGCAAGCGATGATCTGCGTGAGGCTGCAGTATGGGTATCGCTTCATGAACAGGATGAAACCGGCAAGGGACACAAACATGCCAGAAGGGACAGTGATGGACTTGAGAAGTGCTCGCCATCTGCCTCCCCTTTCTGGAGAGAGTAGAGTCACAGAGATGGGACGGATGTCAGTATGAATGGCGTGAGTGAGGAAGCAAATAATTCAGATACAACAAAACAACATTTAAACACATGCTGTCACTCACCGATCACCTGCAACGAGGTGGAGGATACCAGGTTGCCATTCCCATCTCTGATTTCATACAGCCCATCGTGCCTTGAGGTCAGCCTCGCTATGACCACCTCATTGATGGTGCCGTTCCTGCCCAGAGAGATGAGGCCCCTGTAGCGCATGTCATGGTCCGTTATCTGGCCCTCGCGGATCAGCTGCACAGGGCCACGAGGGGGTTTGGGGTCAAAAGGGCCCAGGGAGGATTCATCAGGGTATCGAGTGGGGGTAAAAATGAGATGGGCATGAGGGATAGGAAGAAAGAGGGGCAGGTTTAGAGACTCCTTGGTGAAGCGGGTGACATTAAAGGAGCGCCCTGCATCCACATGCAGGATAATGAACACAAAGGAAGGAGTGCAGATGAGAGGGTGTCAAATGGAAAGGGAAAGATAAAATATAAATGTTACAGTTGACAAGATCCTAAAGTTAAGAAGAAATTCATCCGTCAGTCTGAAAACTCTTATCCTCGGTCTCTGCTCACCGCGGACAGTGAGGGTGCTGCGGGACACGACCTTCCCCATGCTGTCTCTCACAGTGTAGTTGCCTTGGTCAGCTTGCGTCACTCTCTCAGCCACCCAGACCTTCCCGGACCGCAGCAGGCGCCCCCGCCCCACGTTGCTGGTCTCAGGGTCTGTCCGGTTCCACAGCACAACTGGCATGGCCTCAGGTGGAGCACCCCGTGGAGAAAACTCCAGTAGGGAGCCATCTTCAGGGATGTTGTGCTCAAAGTTCTCCCCGTAGTTTCTGTGGTAGGACTTAATGCACTCTGAAGAAGGATGAAGGAGTGAGGGATCAGAAAGAGGCAGAAGGAATGATCGACAGAAATGGAAAGAATATATTTACTCAAAGTGTTTCAATTTTATGCTGCTTTATACTTCCACTTACTACATGTCAGAGGGTACTTTTAAATCTAATACACTGAAAGTTGTGGTTAATAAATACTCTTAAGACTACCTTTTGCAAAAAGAAAGCATATGATAAGCTTCAAATATAGAATGCATTTTTGAAGATTAAACCTGGAGTGCCCTTCATCTTTGCCTTGTAACCCCTGACAAAAAAGTGGTGTATATTTGTTATATTTCTGAGGGTTATGGGTTATTAACATTTTAATCAAAGAGACATTTCCTCTCTAAACTTCAGAATAGATAAAAGTTGAATAAATGAATATGCATTTGTGTAGCATAACTTTCATCTTTAATCATCTCGCAACCCCTCAAATTAGTCTTGTGACCCATAAGTTGGGAACCAAACTACCTGACTGTACATGAAGAGGCCATTTTCTGCAGAATGAGTACTTTTACTTTTTCTTACTTTAAGTACATTTTGCTGATAATACTTTTATTGAAGTACATTTTGAATAAAGTACTTTTACTCATAATTGGGGTGTTTTTACTTTGAAAAACAAGAAGAGGAAACTATCACACCTGAAACAGTCAAACGAACAGTCTCGTAGGTGAATCCAGATGACAGTTTGATGGCATAAAGTCCCTGATCACCGTGAGTCACTTCTTTCAGGACTAACATCTTATCTCTGGTCCACTCAAACCTTGGGTCCTTCACCTGCAGATGTAAAGTAAATAGGTTTTGGAAATCTGTACATGCAACAAACAAACAAAAAAACACAAGCATCTGCACACTCACGGTGGTTTTGTCCAGCAGGATACGTCTCGGCCCCTCAGAGTTTGGTGTAAAAGTCACCATTCTGGATGTCGAGTACACAGGCA